AATTAATATTAAAATTTAATAAAATATAAAGACATAAAACATAATAAGTTATTAAATAAATGGTGAATAATTAAATATTAAAATAAAGTACTGGACCTTGACTTATTTGGGGGCTTCGGCTGGAATTACAATTTTGCACAAAAAATAAGAATTAGCTGTACTGGTCTCCAGTTTAATTTAAGCTCTGAATATAATGTACTACTGCAAAGGTTAATAGAAATGAAGACCATCTTGTTCCAGCACACTAATAAAAAGTGTTAAAAAGGTTAAAGCGTCACCAATGAAAGTATAGAGAATGTTATAACCAGCAATAGAATATGGAGAAAATTTTAATGGATGACCTGTAGGTATTAAAAAAAAGAGAAGTGTCCAACATTTTCTGACTATGATTTCCTCTGAATATAATTCTAGCTGTCAAGCAGAATATGACAGGAGAACAAACTTTCACTGAATCCGAAGGTTAGTTGGGAAAAAAAAAAAAAAAGTAACAAGTGAAAATTTTCATCATTTCATTACATGATTCCAAAAGTCTGCATGTGCTCTTTTCTGCAGGAAGACACTAGCGTAGGAACGAAAAATTTACCTGCTCTCATAAATTAATTGTACTTTCTGGAGAATAACCCCTTAACATGTAGATGGGGGGCTTCTCTTTCCTTAAAAATCTTGACCTCCATCCAAGGGCTCATTTCCCAAGGAAAGAGAATTATGCATTCAGAAGTTAGAATCGATTTTTAATATAATTTTATTTCTGAAAATAAAATTTTCAAGATCAAATTTCTACTGAAATTGCTGTTCCGTTACATTAAAGAAGTGCTAAAGCCTTCTTATTTAGAAGAATACTTCTTATTTTGCTCTTTGTATTTGGTATATTATATTGCTCTTTGTGTTTGGTAGCAACAATAGGAAGCGCGATACGTCATTTATAGTGAATTTATAGCCTTCTTATTAGAGCTCCGGTGCGCTCTGGCTAGAATTAGGATTTATTCCCAAAACTAAGAAGCACCGGAGCCAGCTCTGACTTTCCTTTCATTGACTGCCTTTAAAATTTCATCAAGCCCTGGCTTTTAGTTTGAGAATCGTGTAAAATAATGCTGGGGCTTATTTTCGAGAAATATTTTGGGTGAATAAAGCATTATCTGAGTGTACACTAATAAAGCATTATTAGTGTACACTCAGATTTTACATTATGCCCAAAGAGGCATTTTTTTTTTTTAATGTTTTGTGGGTTACCTTTATTTATTAAATATCATGTTCTTTGCACTTAAACCATAAATTGAGTTCAACAGCAATATCCCAAAATAATTTTAAAATGAGCATATCTTTAGAATTACCGATATGCAGTCTCACATGCTGGAGATAATTTTTCTTTTTTTTTTTTGCCATACAGTGTTGCCATTACTTGCTTTGAAATCCTTGAGTTTTTTTAATCAAAAATTTGTTAACATTTTACAAAATATGAAATGGATATAAAAATTCTAATTCTCTTCTAATGAATATTTCTAATTAGACAACTCATGATTTTAATGCATGTTTTTATAAATCAGTATCATTAAAAAGTAGAAAAATGTATTCGTAACCGTGTTTATTGCTTTTAAATTGCTTTTTTATTACTCAATAAATGTCTAGATCAAATTTGAAAGTATTTTAGACTTAACTGAATGGCAATATGCTAGCAAGTGGAAGATAAAAGTATTCTATTTGAGGCAGAAGCAACACATTGCTTTCGTAGAACCGAGTTTCGAAGTTAAAATTGAAAGATAAACATCCTCCACTTTTTGAATGACAACAGTCTGCAGATAAAAATAAAAATGCTTTAATTTGAACAGCGTTTCCACTGTTCGTATTCAAATTGTTGACATAGTTAATTAAAAATTCATTAAACGTTTATAAAATATGAAATAAAAACAGTTGAATAAATTCTAAATTCTGGCTTCCAGGTGTACACGTTTGGGTGGAGGACTAGGTTATTCAAAATTTGATGGCTGTAGATACCGTCAATATTTTTTGCAATGCAAGGAATATGCGTACATACATGCAGATTCTTCAATATTTAATTTCTTTAATAATGAGACAGGGTGAAAGTATTTGGTAGCAACAATAGGAAGCGCGATACGTCATTTATAGTGAATCACCGCAAAATCTCATTTCGAGACTAATAACCCTTTTTGGGCTAAATAGCATTAACAATTTACCTACATTTTAAGCATTTACAATTTACAAAATATGAAATGGATAATAAACAAATTCCAAATTTGGCCTTCCAGATGCCCATGTACAGATGGAAATGTCTGTTATTCGAAATTTGATAGCTCTAGTTGCCGTCGTTTTATCACAATGCGAGAAACATGCATACATTTATGCAGATTCTTCATAATTTTTTAATATTTGGTGGTAGCAGTTTGAAAAGTAAACCAACATTTAAAGTTTTTGACACAAAATGCCAAAACGAAATTAATAGCCCTTCTGGGTTAACGCCTCCCCCCAAAATAATTGCTGCTTTTACATTAAGAAGTTTGTAATTATCTTGTTTTAATTACAACTATATATTCATGACACATTTAGTTAAAATTTTTGTTATTAATGGTGATGAATAAATTTTCATTTATAGGGAGCAACATCATGATAAAGCTCCGACAGCTCGCCAGGGAGCGAGAGGAGGAAGAGGAACGTGCGCAGGAAGCAGGTTAGCATATTTGTGATATGATAATTAAAAAGACAAAAATAAAAATTGTAAATGATATCTTCAAGAGCAATGTACATAAATTTTTGAGTGTATTGTTTGTAAAAAGTGAAAAAATAAAATAGATTTGTTAAACAGTTAAAGGTTTACAGCATTTAAATACAATAACCTACATTCAGAATGCAAAATGAATGAAAGAACCAGGTAATCAACAAAAATATTCAAATTGTATCATTTTGTAAGAGTCCTTTCAATTATGTTAAAATCATGTAATGGGGATAATTCTGAAACTATGCACTTCATTTTTATGTGTCCAGTTGTACATTACTTTACATGCCAATTCATAGAACTGTAAAAAACGGAAGAAGATTGAGATGACGTATTGTGTGTGCCCTTTGACCATATAAGCGCAATTAAATTAAGATTTAAAATAAGCCTATTTATTAAACCTTCCATAGCTGTAAGATTAAGTAATTATTTCTCCTTTAGCATTATGCATATCTGTCAGTCGCAAATTTGTGTTGCAAGTTTTCGCCTACTACGATGCATTACTAGAATGTAGATAACTAGAATGTGAGCCAAGTTCATTCGATGACTTTCAAAAGGTTAACACACTGACCTCACAAGAATATCTGTATCTCCGCAAACACTTTGATAGTGTTGTGGTCCTTGCTTTGGGGATTTCATCATTTTAGATCAGTAGGACAGGAACAAGTACGGGTGGGGGGGCACCACGACATTGCCATTGACAAAAATGGTATAGGCCTCGCGTGCACTAACCTTTCTAGAGAACCGTTCCCATGGTGGAGAACACAAGTGCCCTTTTCAGGCATTTATTTAAGATCTTATAAAAAGGCTACATTTTTAGTATATTTATTACATCTATGAATACATTGAATAGATGGTAACATTGCTGTACTTGAAGTTTTACATTGGAGCTGGATTGCATACATTATTGATTGATTATAGTGGACTTAAGTCATATTTACGTTGGTTTAGTGGTTGTAGTGGTATTGCAGTGTTTGGATTATATTACATTAGGCTTTTTGGATTATATTGAGTGCACTTAGCAGCTCACAGTTTTGGATTATATTGAGTGCACTTAGCAGCTCACAAGTATAAAAAATTATTCATGATTTCGTAATTGTTGCACTGTGTTAATATAATATTTATGGTAATTTGTATTTAGGATGATATTGAGTTCATATAGTAGTAAATAGTTCACTGTCTCTGGTGATGGGTATGCTATTTTTGTGCTTTTATTGTTATTGAAGGCACTCCTTATATGGAGAAGTGCTGTGGAAATAATGCATTGATGAATGTCACCTCTGATGAAACTGAGTTTGTATTCACTAATCACTCAAACACCGAATCACTGACTGGTGCTGACATTAGTCCCATTAGTAAAGAACAAAGTTATAAAGTTGTTATTAGATTTTTTATGTTTTATATTCTTTGTGCTGCTGTTATTTTTAATTTTATAAACATGTTTCAAGAAGCACAGATTCTTACCGCACATATTCAACACAAGTTCGATGTTACTTAATGTGATGGCTGTGGTCTAATCTACTGATGCAATTTTTTAAAATATTTAATCTAAAATAATATACCGTATTTGACGGCATATAAGATGCTGTTTTTTTCCTAAATTTGGTCTCGAAAAAGTTACCTGTGTCTTATACGTGAAGGTAATTGCATTCAATAATTGTTTATTTGGCTTTTACGAAACGTGAGAACTAAAAGAAATCACGCTATTGAAACTTTTTTTCCTTGTGTGTGGCTGTCTAAATAAGGGTGCGTCTTATATGCCATCAAATACGGTAATTGGTTTGTAAAATATATTAAATAATTTTCATATATTTTTCCTCTTATTTTATGATTTCTTTCTTACTACACAATATAGCTTTGTATCAAGAAACAATTATGAATTTTATTAATAATTTTTGGTAATTAATAGGGTCTTAATTATGCTGATGTGTGGCCAATGCATATTTGCCTATCAGCTTTCTTTCACTTTTAAGTTTCCTTTCATGGAGTAGCTTTGAAATTTCATTGACCCCTGGTTTTTAGTTTGAGAATCGAAGATAATAATGCTGGGCTTATTTTCCAATTAGATCTTTATAGTCTGAGAAATATTTTGGGGAAATAATGCATTATTATTAGTGCACACAGTTAAAAAAAATTGCTTTTATATCAAGAAATTTGTAATTATCTTGTTTTAATTACAAGTATATATCCATGCCACATTTAGTTTCAAATTTTTGCTATTATAATTAATGATGGCTAATTTTTTCATTTATAGAGACCTGCGAGCCACCTCTGGTGCAGGACACCAGAGAGGTGGAATCGGTCGCGCAGGAGAAGAAGGTGTACAGGAAGAAGACGCACCGGAGGAAGGTGCGCAGGAAGAACACGCGCCGGAGGAAGTCGCGTGGGAAGAAGACACGCTCGAAGAAGAGGTGTTTGAAGAAGAAGCAGGTTAGCATATTTCTGTTTTGAGAATCTGATAAAAGAGTACTCAGTCTTGTTTGGTGTGGAACACTCATGCTATGCACTGTCATCATGAAAGTTTGAGTTATCTGAAACTATTAATTATCTTTAAACATCAAGTGGATTTTATATTTTGTAAATAGTATTCATAACTATTATTGATCCTGCAGCTACAGCTGCATTTTAAATGCATGTGAAAATATATATCTAAAAATTTGTTTTCATAATAATACTTGCTAAGCTCTCATTGTATGCTTCAGACAGATGAAGCAGAACTTAACTTTCAAAACTTGCCAGCCGTGCCTACAACAGGCTTTCAGGTTTTTTTCTGATTAAACTGATTTCTGATTTTCTGATTTTTCTGATTCTCTCCTGGCAAGCAGCAGCTAATCTTCTGTTACAAATTATGCTGATTATGATTTTATTTCTAATTTTAACCTGTGCCATTTGACATAAAATTTACCTGCTATTTACTAAACCTATAGACTGAGTAAGTACATGGCAAAATGAGACATAAAAGAAAAAATCAGCATAAAGCCGTTAATAAAATGTAAATGAAATGTCCCCAATCTTCTTTCAAATATGTCCACTATTATACGTGTAAAATATTTAATGCTATTTGAGAAACTTTATAATGTGGATTTCATTCTCAAATTTGTTTTAACGTTATGTTTAATAAGAATGCATCCTACTACGGATCTGTTTATTCTTAGAATGTTATTACAAGTGAAATTCAGATATAAGCTGATTGAATTGAATTTTTTAGCTCCTATTGGCTGATAGGTCCTTAATTTTTTTCATTAATGGTCCTTAAAAGTACTTAATTTCCATGTGCAGAAATGTGTACGAACCCTGAAGCTGTGTCCAAGGGAAAGACAGGCTTGCATTCAGAAGTTAGAATAGTTTTTTAAGGCATAATTATTTTTAAAATAAAATTTTTCTGTTGAAATTGCGGTTCACTTGCAGAAAAGAAGTGCCAGAGGCCCTTAATTTTCAGGGCTCTGGCTAAAATAATGATTTATCTCAAAAACTGAGAAGTACTGGAGTCAGGCTCTGGTGGGCTCTGGCTCAATTTAAGCTCTGCTCATTAATAATTCTTCCACATATTCAGATCCAATGAGTAAACAGATTTCATCCAAATTATTTTCATATAGACAAGATTTATAATTTGTAGTCATATCACATATTAAAATAACAAGATCTTTTAATTGGTTTAAGGAATGCAAATCATTCAACTTACAGAAGACTAGAAGCACATTTTATTATCATCTAAAACTAATTCACAATTAAAGCTTCCATCTATATTTGTAAAATTAACACGATACTTTTGGTGCTTTTCTGTGTGCATTCCTGCACACAGATTATGTGCACAACCTGCATTATGAGGCACACACATAGATTGCGAAGTGGGTGAATTTTCTTGCAGTACTGGAGCCCTCTGCATAAGTTGTACATCAGCTTCTTCCATATCAGCATCGCATGAACTTTCAGATGGTTCAATACTTGCTAACTGTGACTTTGTAACTTCACTATCAGTTTCTACGATCTTGACAGTCATATTTTCACTTTCTTTTATCACTATTTCAGGCACTTTAGAATCCAAACTTTATTTCCATGAATTATTTCTTCACCTCTTTCAGAAGCTTTACAAGCCACTTCTTTTATTTCTTCATCTTTACAAACAGTATTATCACTTTCTTCCAGTTCAACTTCAGACTCTTGAGGTTGAGAATCGTCTTTCCCCTCCTTTTCTTCAACTTTTCGTTCTGTTTCTTCAATCTTGTAAGATGTTTCATCCTTTATTTCTTTTATCTTTTTCGGACACATCACCAGCTGTTTCCTTCATTTCTTCATCCTTTGATTCTTCAGATGCCACTTCTGTCATTTCCACATCTTGTCGCTACAATTTTCTTTCTAAACTCTATGATGTCATTTCTAATCTCCTTTTGCTTCACTACTGTCCGTTGCAGTTGCTCTTGCAGATTGTCTTGTCTGGCTTCTATCTTGGCTTTCAATTCTTATCTCGGCTAAGAAGTCCATCAAAGTCTTCATTTCCTGTGCCATGGCTTTCCTCTGCAGGGGGGTCACTGGCATTCACTTGCAAATCCCACTTCTGACACCCCTTGTTACGTTTTTCGCTTCACGTACGGGTTCAAAGATTTGGAGTGAATAACGATGACACTTGATGAAGTATCCAAACACAATTTATTAGCCAGTATTATTATTCAAGACAGCTCCAATAGCACATTTACAGTCAAAGAATACAATAAACACGCTGGCACAATCAGTGACACAGCCTTCAGGCTATAATGGTAGAGACAGCTTCAGGGCAAAGCTCCAGGGTAAAGCTCCTGACTTGGTTCAGTCGTTCTTGGAACTTCACATACTCTTGAAACTTTCCATGCTACAACTCGCAGTGCACTCGATGATACACTAGAGTACAGCTTCCGACTCAGTTCAGTGTTTCCCGGAGCTTAACATATTCTAAGATGAAACTTGACAATGCACTAGACTTTCTTGAAGCAATCGATGACCAGCTCGGCACTAGACTTTAAGATACTCGCGAGCTCACTGACTGTCAGCTCGCTAGACGAGACGCAAACTCTGCATGGACCAACTGAGTCTCTGCATACCAGCAGGGCTCATACAGCTTTTGGCTTGTGTTGGAGAACATTCTGGGCTAAACCAGTAAGAATTCATTCCAGAAGGTTCTCCATCCGTCTGTGGCATATCACCAATTTGTTTGACAAATGTGGCAACCCTAAACCTGCCTTGTGGGGAAGCTATCTTACCATGCCTGGACATTTCGTAACAATACATTATCTTTTACTAAACTTTAAGTAAAGTATGAGATAAACTGTTGTCGACAATCAGGACAATTTTTGTGTCATCAGGTAAACCAACTGAATTCAAATATTGCCGAGCATTGGGTGTGAAATGATTTTCAAACCAGTCATTTATTAATGCTTGTGTCATCCATGCTCTTTTATTTGCACAATATATAATGGGGAAAATCTTTACTCCTCTAAATTCTCGATGCCGTGTATTTTTCCCCCGAATTACGAAAAGTTTACACTTGTGCATTCCTGCAGCATTTGTGCATGCTAAAATTGTTAGTCTTGAAGAGTCACTGGGAAGTAAATGTGGAACATAGATTGGGAACTGCTGATTTAGAAGTTAGAATTTGATATTTAAATTATGTTTCTGTTTATTGGAATTTTACGCACTGTATGGTGTATATTCTAACATAGAGAATGACTGTTGTGTGCCTTTTTACAATACGAGGCCTTCTTTTGTTTATCTAACACTGCTCTCCACCCAAAAATGTAACATGTTTGTAATTGGTTTTTAAGTCACAATAATATTGATAATATATTTTTCAGTTAGTCTCCAAGAATATAACTGTCATTTTCTCATTTATCTGCGTAATGTGATACGTTGAAATAAACATGCTACTTTCAGCAAAACGAGTTCTTTTTTAGATTGTGTTGCATTATATTTTATTGAGTGTGACATTCTCGCCAGATCAAAAGTTATGGATTAGCTGTCTTGGATGGGCCAAATCTGGATTCCTTGGAAAAAGCTTGGCTTTGCATTTGTCCAATCAAAGCTTGGATCCATTGGAAGTTTTCTTTGCAGCTGTGGGACATTTTGACACCTGTTCAGGGGTACCATTATTAGCAAATAAAGCTATTCTTCGAAATGATAATTTGTGAAAGACTTTCACCAGCATCTCTTGGAACAAAATTCGACAGTTACCTCTTAGTTTATTTGAGTGTTGGTTGCTAGGAACTGTTAAAGACTGGCCTTCCATCTTGGTGTGGCTCATGATACGATGTTTTAATGCAAAATACTTTTTTTGACTGAGCATTCTGAATTCAGATAAATGCAAAAATCTACTTTTCCTACAACAAATAGTGCATGTGTACTCATGTCACATTAAAAAATTCTTTTTTGTCAATTTCCATTTTGAACAGCTGTCTATGCCTGTCTTTTCGTTATTCAGAGTAATGAATCTTATTTCAAAGCAGTTCAGCAAACGAGACTTGAGTGAACTGGCTTGAAATAAAAATTTTTTTGAAATATTCTCTTCTGTTAACCAGCATCTTTACTGTATAAGTTTCCAGTGTTTGTCGCCTGTAGGCTCTACTTGCATTGTCTAATACTGTGCAGAAGCCCTCGTATAAGAGGAACTCTTTTTAGAATTTCTTTCGGTAAGCAAACACAAATACAAGTTTAATTTTTCGTAAAAGTGCAGTAGTGTAAACTATTATAAAGTGAAGAATATCTATGTTAGAGATTATATGCGTGCAATAAACTGCTTTCAAACTTACTGAAGTTTTTATTTAAATGTAAACATTATTTATACAGACTCAGATCCTGATTTTATCCTTTTCAGGACATCTGCAGGCTCCTGGATCCCTGCAGTGAAACCCTGAGAGCAGTGCGAAGTGCCCTCACAACAGGTAATTAAGAGTTTGGCATATGCCAGAATTGAATCTTTTGTATGCATTTAGTGTCTTAATATGTTCAGTGTTTACTGTTGTTTCTGCAATTTTGAATTTTATATGTCACCAATTGCTCTTGCCATTGATATTTAAAACCGCGGCTGTTATATTTATGTAAATATATTTTCTGTAGGAAAAATATTCTTTTTTTTAAAAAAAACTCAAATCAGTATATATATTTTTTAAATTGCAGATAATATATTGATTCTTTTTTTTTTTTTTTTTTTTATATAGAGAGCGTACCACGTCAGCTCTCCTTGCAAGAGGTTTGTATAATTATAATGAATCTTTTCCACATCTATTTCATTCTTTTCTGTAGATGTTGTCATCTAAGAGCAGTGGTCTCAGACATAAATTGAATTTGGTCCAAATGCACCATTTGAAAGAATCTTCCAAATGAGTCAATGACTTATTTACTTCCTTAAGCTATAAATAAACGATGTACAAATTATTTCCAAGTACTTCTACAGATTTGCTATAGACTTATTTGCTATAAATAAACTGAAAATATTTAATATCTGGCTATAGATTTGAGCTGTAATACATACTGAATCATCAGTCAATCTCATTCTTTTTTTATTAATCATCAACTGCGTAGAAAAAATGTTTACATCTAAATGTACATTCAAACAAAGTGATTTTTCTTTTTCGTTTGTGAATTTTTTTACGCAATTTTCATACTTATTTTTAATAAGTACAATAGTGAAAAACTGGACTCTTGAATTATTAGTCTTGAACTTTCTCTTCATTAAAGTCTTGTGATAATAATGCTAATTAAACTGCTGGGAATATATTTGCAAGCTATGTGAAATTACTTTAGGTATTCACATGCAGCTTGTAGGCCACCACGTTGAGACGACTGCCTTAGAAAAGTTTTCTTTTTTGTTAATATACTTTATTTTCAAAAATGCTCAAATGAGATGTTTTATTGTACTTCAGATTCAACACATTGACTGTTATTTCTATCCCACTAAAAGTACTTGACAGGCCACATTATTTATTGTATCGTTATGAATTGACAAAACTATATAAAAGCAGTAGATGGTGTTCATAAGAATATTATTTCTTTAATTTTTTAATATAATTGATTTAATTAAATATTGATTTAAGTCATGAATTTTATTTAAATCAATCATATTAAAACATTAAAAATATTTTTATAGAATTACATAACACATTTTTTCACTTTTAAATGGTCAGAAAGTGCATAATATTTCTCATGCCAGTCTAAATGAATATTCATCTAATTTCATGTGAAATGTTTTGCTTTTCCACCTGGACTGTAGTCTGTTCAACCAGTCTCAACTGTAATAAATAAAAAAAGATTTCTTTTGAGCAGTTTGTTAAAACCTGAACTCTTTCAATTGTTCCACCTTTTTTCTTTCCTGTCTCATTCAGAGTTATTTAATAAAACTTAAGTCCATATAAAGAAAATGCTCTCTATATTGAGTATGTACTCCGCTCAATTGATAAGGGGATAGGCAATTTAAATAAACAGAAAACTGCTGATTAAATATGCGGTACACTATTAAATATATTTATGAATGTGAGAACTTAATAAAAATGTAAGAAAGGATAAATTTATAGGAAACGCATTTATTATAAAAAATTCATTTTTACACATGTCTTTCAGAGGAAAAAAACACAGATGCTTTAAAGAATTTTGTCAGAATTTTAATAAAGACTGTAGATATCTTGAGTCTGTGGGAAACTAAATTTGTTACTTGATAGATGAGGTTATGGGTAGATTTTCCCCAGGTTTCCCTACTGAATGTACAATAGCTAAAGTTAAAAGTCTATCAACAATGTATCCTCCTCATGTATTCATTCATGAACTTGGCCATTTTGATGTGTAAAAAAGGGTGGAATCACCAGTGGCAGCAGTACAAGGCTTTACCAAGATTTTAAGAATTTCTTCTCTGTACATTTGAACTATCAGGATCCGTTTTGAATGATGCACACTACTTTGAGCAAAACGAGTTCCTTTTTAGACTGTGCTGCCCTAAATTTTATTGAGCATTCTGTCCAGATCAGAAGTCATCGATTAGCCATCTTTGGACCAAATCTGGATTTCTTGTTGAAGAAAGCTTGGCTGTGCAATTGTCAAATCTCATAGTTCTTAAGACCAGTTCCTTCAAGCTTTAAACTGCTCTGAAGACAGAAATGCATATATCTAGCCCACACATGGAAAGACCTTTGTAAATTCTTTGTGTAAGCTACTTGTAATAGCCAGTGGAAGCTTGCTTTGCAGCTGGGTGGCATTTTGTCACCTCTTCAGTGGGACCATTATTAGCAAATAAGGGTCATTCTTTGAAGTGGAAACTTGTGAAAGACATTGACCAATATGTCTATAAATGCTTCCTACCTCTTGGAACCAGGTTAGGTGGTTACCTCTTAGCTCACTGAAATGTTGGATGCTAGGATCTGTTGGTGACTGACTTTCCATCTTGGTGTGGCTCATCACATGTTGTTTTAACACAAAATCGTTTTGACTCAGGATTCTGTGAAAGTGCTGTTACTACAATAAAGATACAAGTATACAGATTTAAAAGACACACTTGTTTTAGACATTCAGGTCACATTAAAAAAGTATCTTCATTGTTAATTCGCATTTTAAACAGCTTTCTAGGCCTACCTTTCCGGTATTCAGAGTAATGAATTGTATTTCGAAGCAAATCAGTAAACAATGTTTTAATGAACTAGTTTGAAATAAAATATATTTTGAAAAATATTCTTCTGTTAACCAGCATTCTAGTATATAAGTTTCCAGTTTTGGTGGCCCATAGGCTCTACTTGCATTGTGTAAAGCTGTACATAAAGCCCCTGTGTAAGAGTATATATATATATATATGTGTGTGTGTGTGTGTGATGTATCAGCTTTTGTCAGGAATGAATAGATTGTTGAAGAATCATCAATGTAGTTGTAGCTTAAATAATCAGACGATAAGTTTAAAAAACAGGATCCTTATTATTTATTCAAGAGAAATAGCAGTTACAAAATCAGATATCCGGAGTAAATAAAAGAATTACTAATAACTTTTTGTATGAAGTTTACTGCATCGTGACATTTAAAAAAAGCCCCGATATTCCTTTTGCGAGTCCTTTTATAGCCTCTGGAAAGGCGGAGCTTCCAAGAAATGACGTCAGCCTCGTCAGCCAATCCAGTTCGCTTTGAAATATTTCCAGAACATTCTATAACTGTACGTGTAGAAAAGGCGGGAAAAACAACTTGACTACGGGGCTGTGGATTTAATTCCACGTACTTTCAAATAAGAGAACGTCGCCATTAAAAATGAAAAGAACATACAGTTAGAATTTTAAGTGTATTCTTGACTATGGAATTTTATTATTTAAATATTCCCCCCCATCTGAAAAGGCTTGAAGCCGGGCGCCTCGACCACAAGACATTCCAGATAGAAAAAATATTTTAAAATTGCTTAATTTGTTTGAAGAACTCGCATCCAGAATTCGAGTTACAATAATATTAATCTTAAATAGACACTCTCACTATAACACAGTCAATAATAATATCAATATATAAATTGTAAATAATATACCTTAATATATTGACATTTATAGAAAATAAAGAAAATAACATTATGCATGCAGTATTGGGAAAACATTTCTCGAGAACAGTTTCAGTTCTGGATCCAGGTCTTTAGAGATTGCTGCAAAACATTAGAGCAGTTCATATTTTACAAATCTTTCATTTCCAGTTCGCCGTGGCTTTAATATTAAAAATTTTTATTTGAGGTGAGGTATTCCTCTATTATTTCTTCATATCATTGACAATTGCAATACTTGACTAATTTCTTAACATTTCCTTTTGACTTTTAGTTTGTTTACAGTATTTTATTTTGACTACTTATTCATATGAAACACTTATTTTGATAATAATCATTTTACACAATAATTTTACCTTTTACTATCGACAATGACAATTATGTCATATACTGCATTGTCGTTCAACACAACTTTCAACTTCAATAGTATTTTATAATTACCATTAATGTCGTTGCCAAAAAAAATTGACACATAAATACAAAATAAATACAAAGATACAAAACAACACACCAAAAATTTACAACACAGAAAATTAGACATTAAATAATTAGAGGTGCTCTAATTACCTTTAGTAGCAACCCAGTTGAGCGTTTACCAAAAGGTGTGTCTACCTATTGGTGATGTAATTTAACTTGGTAGTGTCGTAGTCTGGAAACATGGACAATATCAGTAGGTTTCTTTGTGTGGTAATTCTTTTTATCAATTTCATAATTAACCTCAGATAATTTTTTGACAATTTGGTATGGTCCAGAATAGGGAGCTGTCAATTTACGTGTATTCGGAAATTCAAATTCATCAAATAAAACTAGATCACCAGGTTGAAAATCTACATCTGCAAATTTTGTGTCATAACGACTTTTATTCCTTTTATGATATTCAATAGTTCTCTCTTTAGCTAATTTTCTCGCTATGTCAACCGGAGGGTAAGTATTTTGATCTAGGGAGAGAATCGAAAGGAAGTTTTCCGAGTAAAAGATATGCAGGGGTGAATTTAGTTACCGAATGAGGGAGAATTATTATATTCACTAATAACTTGATCCAAAATTTTCGTCCATGGAATTTTCGATGATGTAGAATTTACTTTACATCTTAAACGGGTTACTAGGGTTTGGTTCACACGCTCTACTTTACCATTTGTCTGGGGTGATGGGCAGTAGTTAGAAGTTGTTTTACATTATAATTTCTAAGAAATTTTTTGAATCTATTGCAGGTGAATGCGGCATTGCGGTCACTAAGGATTTTTTCGGGGACTTGAATTTGGAAAATTTGTTTCAAAATATTAGCATAAGTTTCTGTAGTTGCACTTTTAGATGGAAAAGCCCAGACATATCTTGTGGCATGATCGATCACAAGATGTAAATATTTTTTTGTAGAATTATAATAATTAAAACCGCCGACTGTATCAATAGAAAGACATTCAAAAGGTTTATCAGTTGGGGGTACTTCTTGCATAAGTCCAAATTTTTTGGGTTTTTTTCTTTTTATTAATTTGACAAACATGGCAATGTTTCACACGAAATTTCCAATATCTTTACTAATGTAGGGCCAATAATATTGTGGGGTGATTAAATTTAACATAGCATGAATACCTGGGTGTCCGAATTTTTCATGAGTTTCAGTTAATAATTTTAATCTTAAGGATTTTGGTACCACAATTTTATAACCTTTTTCTTTTCTTAATTACCATCAAATCATTTAGTTCTACATATATTTTTTATCACACACATTGTCACTTTTTTGCTGTTGTATAATTTCATCACGATTAAGTAAATACACAGAATGTTGGAGCTGGTGAGAAACAGGTTGTCTAGAAAGCATATCAGCTTCAACGTTTGTAGAGCCTTTTTGATATTTAACTTCGTAATCAAACATACTGAGTCGGAGTGACCAACGGAATAATCTGCCTCTTAAATTCTTAACATTTTTAAGCCAAACAAGGGCTGCATGATCGGTATGGATTGTAAATTTTTGACCGTGAAGATAGTAATAAAATTTATCTAATGCATCAACAATAGCTAAACATTCAAGTTTTTGTAATTGCATAATTTTTTTCGTAATCTTTTGAAGCTCTAGAATGGTAGGAAACTGGGTGTAATACATTATTTTCACCTGGCTGCTTCAAAAAAGCTCCCACAGCAATCTGTGATGCATCAACAAAAACATGACAAGGTTTATTTGGATCATACAATTGTAAGACTGGTTTTGAAATAAGAATATTTTTCAGTTCGTCAAAAGCAGTTTGACATTGATCATCCCAATGCCATGGTACATCTTTTTTCAATAATTTATTTAGAGGAGATCTTAATTTAGCATAATTAGGTATGAATCTATGATAAACATTTACACTGCCTAACACTCTTTGTAGTTCTTTTACATTACTTGGATATTTCAAATTTTTAATACTTTCAATATTTTGGTTATCTGGGGTAACTTTACCCTTTCTAATTTCATAACCTAGAAAATTGATTTTATCTTTGGCAAAGACACATTTACTCTGGTTCAATTTAATACCTTCTTGAATAAATATTTCAAATAATTCACTCAAATGCTTTAGATGTTGTTCTTTGGAAGAAGAGTAAACAATTATGTCATCAAAATAACTACAAGCAAATTGGATTTTATTTTTAGTGAGGATGCGTTTAATAACTCTGTTAAAGATAGCCGGTGCATTTTTGAAGCCAAAAGGGAGTCTTAGCCATTCATACAGTCCAAAATTTGTAATAAAAGCCAATTTTTCGGTGTCATCAGGGTGAATAGGAATGTGCCAAAACCCTGATCTTAGATCTATTGTAGAAAAAAACATTTGCATTACTTAATTTGTCTAATAAAAAGTCTATCCGGGGCAGGGGATGAGCATCAGTCTTTGCTAAAGCATTCAACTTACGATAATCAATACACATTCTAGTTTTTTTTTTGCCCTCATCGCGTTTTAATACTAAAGTTACTGGGGATGCATAAGGACTACTACTTTCTTTAATAATTCCATTTTTTAATAATTGATCAATTTGTCGTCTAATTTCTTCTTCTTCCTTAGGGGAAGTTCGATAAGGTCTTAAAGTGACAGGCAAATCAGAAGTCAAGTTAATTCGTTGTGGTTCAATGTTAATTTTTACCTACATCATATTTATTTTTGGAAAACACATTCTTATATTTATTTAACAATTTAATTAATTCAGGGTTTTCTTCCTCCATACTCTCTGAATCTGTTGTTATTTCACTACTTTGTTTTTTCACATCACTTTTTTGAACTTTTTAGTTTTACATTACTTTCATTATTTACATTAACTCTTGTTACCTTAGACATCTTATCATCATTAAACTTCATAATATTAGACTTATTACCTTCATTAACGATTATACCTTTAGACACATTATTTTCATTAGATATATTATTTTCATCAACACTTATTACCTCAGAGATATTACTTCTAGGTTTTGTCTTAACTGATGGCATTACATTACTGTTTTCTTCAAGTACTTGATCAAGTTGTACATGCAAAGAAACTCTGTTATTTACATTCACAGAATTTGAAATGTTATATTAACTCTTGTTACCTTAGACATCTTAGCATCATTAAACTTCATAATATTAGACTTATTACCTTCATTAACGATTATACTTTTAGACACATTGTTTTCATTAGATATATTATTTTCATCAACACTTATTACCTCAGAGATATAACTTCTAGGTTTTGTCTTAACTGATGGCATTACATTACTGTTTTCTTCAAGTACTTGATCAAGTTGTACATGCAAAGAAACTCTGTTATTTACATTCACAGAATTTGAAATGTTTTCATTTCTTTGAGTTACCACTAAATTACTACAATCAATTTTTAATTCAAATAATTTACATTCATTTAAACCCAAAAGAACATAATCTAAATTAGTATCTAACACTAATAAGTTAATTAGTTTAATAATATTTCCAAATTTCATTTGTAATCTACACATTTTATCAATAGAAAAATTTCCTTTAGTTTGCCTTAATTTTAATACTTTTTACCTTTTGAATTTTTAACTGTAAATTGTTTGCAGATTTTTCTGAGATGATAGACAATGTCGCGCCAGTGTCCACGACACAGTCGACTGATCTGCCATGGGATAAAATCCCTTAATTCTTAGTTGTCAAATTCCCTGAAGAATCAGACCCTGAATTTTTGTTTTCCACATTAGAATTAGTTTCAGTTTCGTTGTTCTCATTTCGGAATGGGCAGATTTGAGCCCAGTGATAACAATTTGGTATCCCTTTTTTGGTACATATTCTACAAGGTGATGGGGCTATACCGTCAAAATTACTATTAGTATGGTGACTTACAATCTTTCTTTCCGTTGTTGATATTGCTGTTAGATTTATTTCCAATTTGTTGAAAACTATGAGGTTTGTAATTAGATGCATTGGGTCAAATATCACCAAACTGACGATTATTATTTTGGAAATTAGCTTGTCTGAATTGTTGAATATTCCTATCTCTGTTATAATTTTGCTAATTTTAATCTTTAAATTCATGAATTTGTCGAAGTTTGTGGGCTTGTTCTAGTGAAGTTATTGGATCAACGGGACTTTGAACAATCATCAAAGACTTTCGTTGGCAAACCATCTGTCAAACCTTCTAAAATCATTGATTTATCCAAATTAAGCCGCTTACCCACCTCAATTTTCTTTCGAAAGTAATTTGTGATGTCTTCTCTGGCATTATATTTTAAATTAGCGAAGTCGCCGAAAGTAGTTAAGGTGGGATTGATAAAGTTTTCTTTTAATATTTGTTCAAATTCTGAGTAAGTTTTTAGCTCATGGCAATTTTTAATATAGAGCCAGAGGGCTTTTCCCTTAATGTAACGAGAAATATTTTGAAGTTTCCAATTTTCGTCCTTATTCTGGCAGACTTTGTTAAAATAACCTAACCAAGAAATTATGTCACTGTCCTTAGAATCTTCAAATGGAATAATATTTTAATTTATTGTATCTTGATTCACGTTCAGTGAATTGTCAAGATTAACGGGTTCCTGATTTGTTGACATTGTAACTGAAACTTTAAAATTTTCTTGAGAACAAAAAATGTGCACTTTTCTAAAAATATTTTTACAATAGTTAAAATATATTTTTTATTCAAAAACTCTTCAGAGTAGTATCAACACTTCATAGAATAATAGACTTAAATAAAAATTTTGTATTCTCAAATTTTATTATTATCACTACACATTTCAGGATAATATCAAATCTTACTTAGAATACTATTCATTAGAATAAGACTTGGAATTTAAATAAACTCGTAGTTACTTTAACATAATATATTTAAACCAAACTATTGTTGTAGCATCTTAGTTCACACACTGAGAAAAAATAATTTCTTAAAATCTGTTCTTACTTGGCCGTTGAGTACACTATTTATTCCTGCTAATTTGTGTGCTGTTTAAAAGAAAACAAAGCATAAAAAATTGAAATTCTTCAGCCTTTTTTCCAGCAGACGATATCCAAATTATGCGGTTCTAACTATGAGATGCGCTCAAAATTCGAAGACAAAGCGGTATCACAATTCACAGTTCTTCAGTTGTAAGAAACAGATGCAACTTGCACTTAAAAATTCTTTCTCTTCCATTGGAATTATTTTCCTTTTGGGTACACCAATCCTACTGACTCCTTGTGATGTATCAGCTTTTGTCAGGAATAATTAGATTGTTGAAGAATCATCAATGTAGTCATAGCTTAAATAATCAGACGGTAAGTTTAAAAAACAGGATCCATTATTTATTATTCAAGAGAAAATAACATTTACAAAAATCAGATATTCGGAGTAAATAAAAGAATTAGTACTAATAACTATTTGTATGAAGTTTACTGCATCGTGACATTTAAGGAAAAGCCCCGATATTCCTTTTGGGAGTCATTTTATAGCCTCTGAAAAGGCAGAGCTTCCAAGAAATGACGTCAGCCTCGTCAGTCAATCTAGTTCGCTTGAAATATTTCCAGAACATTCTAAAACTGTACGTGCAGAAAAGGCGGGAAAAACAACTTGACTATGAGGCTGTGAATTTAATTCCACGTACTTTCAAATAAGAGAACGTCACCGTTAATAATGAAAAGAACATACAGTTAGAATTTTAAGTGTATTCTTGATTATGGAATTTTATTATTACATATATATGTATATATACAGCCTCCTTCAGAGTATATGTATATATATATGTACCGCCATTATATATAGAGTATTGTGCCTTTTTTATGTAGAGTATACTCCTTTTTTATATAGTGTATAACCCCCTTTTATATACAGTACACCCCTTTTTTATATAAAGTATAACTATATGTACACTCTCTGTATATATAGCTATGTATAAAAAAGTGTATACCTTTATATAGAGTATACCCCTTTTTTATAGCACATACCCTCTTTTATATAGAATATGCTGTTTTTAATATAGAGTATACCTATATGTATTCTCTATATATAGAGTATACCTATATATACTCTCTCTATATAGATATATAGAGTATAGGTCCTTTTTAGTATTTCTTTTGGTAAGCAAACACAAATACAAGTGCAGGTCTCTTGTAACAGTAGAGTGGTGTAAACTTAGAAAGCAAAGAATATATGTGTTAGGGCTTATATGAAATTAATGCTTTGAAATTTACTGAAGTTTTCATTTAAATGTAAAAATAATTTATACAGTACTTTAATTCTGATTTTATTCTTTTCAGCACAAGGAAATGAGCATGAAGTTAATCATGCTTGACGAATGGGAGGATCAATTAGAGGCCCTCATTGAAACAGGTAATTCAGAGTAACATTTTTTAGCATATGCTGGAATTGTATCTTTTATGCATATTTATTATTATTTTTCTTTCTTAACTCAGTCGTTAGCATTATTTTCCAGTTGGCTTTAGTTAATCTTGTAATGGTAATAAAAGTTTCAGTAAAATTAGGCTGCTTCAGATGCATTGAACCTTCTTAGATTTGAACTCATAGAATTTTGCATTACATCATCCTTCTTCTAAAGAAGTATTTGTGCTAGAGACATAGAATGAGAACTTAGTTCCAAGAAGAATTAAGCAAACTGTTTCATTGATAAAGCTTTAGGTGAAAAAAAGCATGATTCTGTTCATGTTTTAAAACTCTGTGGCTTCTTTGCAGTCAGTTAGCAGAAAGTTTACATTTGAATTTAAATTCATTCAATACTGGTTGGAATGCTTGCAAAATTGATGCTTGCATTGAACCAATGCTTTGCAAAATAGGATTCATAGTTGACAGGAATGACATCAGTAACCATTTGATATGAGAAAGAGCATTGACTGAACCTTTTTACTGCACCATTCACTTGTAATACATTTCAGTAGTGAACTGACCTATGAAATTAAGTGTTATTAATTTGGCAAGGGGGAAAATTGTTATACTTTTGGAAAAAAAAACTTTGTTGAGAGCCTTATGTTCTGTAAACACTGTAAAGTTCATTCCTTCAAACAGATATCTGAAGTATTTAATAGTGTCAAATATTGTGAAAACCTCTCTGTCCGATGTATTATATTTCTTTTCAGTGTGACTCAATTTTCTGGAAAGATATCCTAGTGGCTTCTGTGTTAGTACATGGAGTTCCTGGACTCAAGCACCTATGGGTTTTCTAAGACCATCATATATAAGAATTTTTTTTTTTTGTCTGGGTGGACAGAATTTGTAACTTGTGCCATAAGCTGTTTACAAGACTCAAAAGTGTTTCAGTGTCTTTTGACCAATCTAAGAATATTTTGTCATTTTTCTTACAACTTCCCAGTGTACCATTTAAAGGAAGTTGAACTTCACCAATATGATTTAAAAACTTCTTATAGAAATTAAGAATTTTCAAAAAATGTCAGAGTTCAAAAATAGTTTTTGTCTTCAGAAAATCTTGGATAACTTCAAAAGGAATGATTCTACAGGTACTTTCATCAATTATGTAACCTAAGAATTTTATGCATCCTGCATTTAGGAAGGTTGACAGTCAAATTATAATTTTTTTTTCCCCTTATAAAAACTTCTTTGATATAACGGATATATTCTTTGAGAGATGATGAAGGAATCAAAATATTGTTTCTCTATATAGTAAACAGTAATTTAAATGTGACAAAATTTGGTCTAGTAATCTTTTGTGTAGTTTGCGTAGCCTTATGTAAGGCAAATGTTATGTAGTTAAACTGAAATAATCCACAAGGAGTAACTATTGCCATTTTTGGTATGTCCTCTTTATTCATTGGTACTTGGTGATACACTTTTTTGAGGTATAATGTAGAAAAAAATAGCATTATTGTTTAAAGTAGATGTAAAATCATATTGATGCCTCATTGGGCAATTATCTGGAATGGTGATTGAATTTCATTTACAGTAGTTGCAGCGAGGTCGTAAAGACCCATCCGATTTTTTTACCATGTGCAGAGGGCTACTCCATCAGCTTTTAGAAGGACTACAAATTCCTTTTCATACTAAATAAGCAAAATCTGCTTTTGGAGCAGCCAGTTTGTGAGGCACTGGGCATCTAGTTTTATTAAGTGTGTAATACCACAAGTATTTGTATCCAAAAGCTGTTTTAAAACATCTTAAAAGAGAGAATCATATTTTTAGGTAAATAGCTAACTATATGTAAAGTTGGTAAAACTAATTTTGGACAATATCTCTGGATATCTTGCCATCTATCAACTGTTTGGGGGATTTCAAATTAACAGCTTGGTTTCTGTTGATTATTAAACACCAATTTGCAAAGAATTATTAAGCAATGAATAAAGAATTATTAAACACCAAATTGTATATATGTACATAGTGTTTAGAATGACTAATCTAAGCAATGAACACTGAACATACAAAACAGATGGTAAGAGAGGTTCTTTGCACACCACCAGAGATAAGATTGCTGTTGGAATGCTTTAGAAGGAGAAATCAGGACATGATGACTATGTTGAAGAATTGAATAGAAAAATTCTACAGCTTCCTTACCTACCAAATCTTCTGTTTTCCGTTCCATTTACCAATCATGTCTTTATGTTTTGAGAATGCCCAGAGAATCATGTCTGTATGTTTTGCTGACTATAAATTATGAAAGTGATGGCCTTTTATGTATGATGTTCAGTATCTCCACTACAGTCTTGCTGAGTTGTTATTTTATATGGGACATTCAAAATATCCAGACGGTTGACGTCCATGCTTTCCTCTAAGCTTTATTCCTTGGAGAACGATGGCCTTTCAAAATGGCTCTCCCTACTTTTAGGTTTGTTTTTTCCAAGAAGTCCTTTGAAGGTCCTTTATGGTTACAAAACAGAACATTGTATCAGGCTTTCTTCATCCCATGGCATGAGCAATTAAACTATTATTGGCATGAACAATTAAACATTTGTGAGGCTATTTGATGTTCATACTTTTCACTTGAAATTTGCCTTCAATTCCGCTTTCGAAACTAGATACTGCTTTACAGAAGCCTTGATTTCCATCAAATGCTTCCACTCTATATTGTGTACAGTGTGTTAAAAAGGAATTATCCAAACTAATATTAACAAAGATGTTCTCCTATATAAGAGTTGTTCTTCCCAGACATTCTTATTATCTTGTACGCCATCTGATTTTATACACTACAAAGTCTGAATTCTGGACTTGTCGAGACTTCGGCGATTCCGGATTTAGGATTTTTCCAGATATTAGATCATCAATTTGAATCTGGTAAGATGGCATGCAGAAATTATACAATTAAAATATGAAATCGTAATTTATGAAATAAAGAACAATTATGATCTAAAGGGTATCAAAATTTACAAAAAAAAAGCTTAATATTTATTTTTTTACTTTATTAAACGTTTCTTTCGGTGTCAGTTGTTTAAGTTGCTTCCACAAAAAATTCAAAAAGTTCCTTTTTCTTTTTTCTTATGTCATATACAGTCGACTTTCTAATGCCATACATAATTTTGAGACAGATATGTCTTTATCCATTTTTTGCAGCAATTCCACTTTTTGTTTTGTTTAATGGACATCGAAAGATGGTTTCGCTTTGTAGATCCATAGGCAGCCCCAGAAGTGGAAACTCTTTTCGACATAATCTAAATTTCAAGCTTATTTTTCTAAAATTTAACTAATTCAAGCTTATTTTTCTAAAATTTAAATAACAGTCTGCAAAAAATAATAAGCTGCAACAACTTAGACGATTAGAGAGCAACACAGTCTATTACATTAACTGAAATGCTTTGGAATCAGTAAAGATAATTTTAGTTTAGCTTAATAGCATCTGTTATACATTATTGGCTGTGTATTACAAGATTGGCAATGAAAGCCAAGTTGTTTCGCTAAATTTGTCTTCCTCCTACTGCGTACTGAATTAAGCCTGAATTTTATTAGTTATTTACTATACCTATGTTTATTTCTTGTACATGCTTCAAACTAATCCAAGTCCTAAATAAATAAACTCCCACATATACTTAAGGCTTTATCTAGGGCCGGCGCTCGATACCGCCCGGTGCAGTCTCTTGGGGTCCTAAATTCTGCTACAAAGCATCTTCCCAAGTTCTAAATTTCCAGCATGCCTAAACTTTGGATCCCAGTGCTTTTTCTAAATCACAAATACTTCTCATCCCTTAATTTTGCCACTCGGTGCTTCCCCGAATTCCAAAAATTTCGTCTTCTTTAAATTTTGCTGTCCGATGCCAACATAGTAATCTTTTGGCCTGTGAGTTTCATTAACAAAATCTATTTTTAGCATATGAAAAGAAATTTTTGTTGAATTTTTCCTCATCAAAATTTCTTAGAACATTTAAAAATCTATAATCATCGCCAAGCCTAATGTTAGCATAAAGGGTTGCCATACTCTTAATATTCAATTGCTAAGTTTAGACATCACAGCATGAGTTATTATTGAAGCTGTCATGTATTGATAAACATGTGGTGATGAAAGCAAAATGTAATAAATAATGACTCGCCAGGCCAGCGTCAGGGATATAAAATAGGTGAATGTTTCGGTTTGAGATGTATGCCAAGCAGATACTCAGCTATGGAGCCAAATTATTAATCTCACAAATTTATGCTTACACGATTGTTTTTCCATAACGAGATTTTTATTTAGTGCCTAAGTGATATTAAGAATTGAAATTTTTAAGTGAAAAATCTTCACATGTTTTATTATGGAAGGAAAAATCAAATGCGCATGTGTAAAGCGTACAAAAAAAAAAAAAAAAAAAAATGTTTGTGGCTTTGAAGACCAGATTTTAGATCATTCCGGATAATGGACGTCCGGATTTCGGACTTTGTGCTGTACTCCGTGAGCTACAAAAAAGAAAAGTAAATAATTTTTTTAACAAATAGTGGTGAATACACTAAATTTATACCATTCACAAGAACACACAGTACAGTCAAAAATCGTTAATCCGGACTCGTCGGGACTTCGGCGATTCCAGATTATCGATTTTTCCGGATTATAGATCATCAGTTTAAATCTCGTAAGATGCCATGCAGAAATTCTAAAATTAAAAATATGAAACCGTAATTCATGAAATAAAGAATAATTATGATCTAAAGGGTATCAAAATTTAGAAAAAAAAAGCTTAATATTTATTTGTTTACTTTATGAAACATTTCTTTCAATGTAAGTTGTTTAAGCTGCTTCGTTTTATGTGATAATACTTTCTCTTTAATTCTATAAACAGACATAATTTCTTGTTCAGTTACAAAGTTCCGCTGTTCAAGTCCCGTAATTGCTGTGCCGAGAATACTGACTAACTTGTTTTCGCTAACCTCTCTGTCACCTTCTTCATGTCTTTATCCATTTTTTGCAGCAATTCCACTTTTTGCTTGATGGACATCGAAACATACTTTCGTTTTGTAGATCCTTTGGGAGCTCCAACATCCAAAATTCTATTTGACATAATCGAAAGTTCAAGTTTACTTTTATAACATTGCTCTTACAGTCTGCAAAAAATAATAACCTGGATCCAATTCGAAGATTAAGGAACAATGCAATCATCAACATTAACTGAAATAGATAATTAGATAATTTTAGCTTATACCGTCCGTTATACACAAAACGCGCACACGAAAACGTATTCTGTGCTTGCGCACATGCATATGCGCAGTCGTGAAGGTCTTACGCGCAGGCGTAAGCGCCTATGCGCATGTGTCAACGCGGCGCATGCACAGAAAGTTTTTAGCTTTAAGGTCCAGATTATAGATCATTCCGGATTATGGGTGTCCAAATTAACGACTTTTGACTGTATTAGTTTGACCCTAGGAAGCAGTAAAACATGCAGCAAAACTGTATTTATGCGAGTTTTGAGAAGCTTCAAGCAGATTTCAGAAATTCTGGATGGATTGAGAGTAAAAAATTTCTCATATGTATGGTTTCAAGGAACTGTCAAGCATTAATTTGTTGGATTGATCAAGGAGCCTCTGGGAAGAACACATGGAACAAGGATTGGGAACCACTGCTTTAGAGGTTAGAATTCCCTATCAAAATTATGTTTCAGTTTATAAGAATTTTACATTATGTAAGGTGTACATTAACACAGAAAACGGCTATTATCTGGTATTTTACTATATGGGACTTCTTTGTTTCTCTTACTCCCCCACCCCTAAATTAAAATATTGCTGAGCATTTTTGAGAAGCTTCAAGCAGATTTCAGAAATTTTAATCAAAAAGTTTACACTTATGCGTTCCTGCAGTATTTGTACATGCAAAAATTGTTAGTCTTGAAGAGTCACTGGGAAGTACATAGATTGGGAACTGCTGATTTAGAAGTTAGAATTTTATATCTAAATTATGTTTCTGTTTGTTGGAATTTTACATACTGTATGGTGTACATTCTAACATAGAGAATGACTATTGTCTGCCTTTTCACAATACGAGGCCATCTTTGTTTCTCTGACTCTGCCCCCCCCAAAAATGTAACATGTTTGTAATTGGTTTTTAAGTCACAGTAATATTAATAATTTATTCTTCAGTTAGTCTCCAAAAAACTTTCATTTCCTCTTTTATATAAATTAACAAATTCTATTTGTAACTATTTCTCTAAAGCAGCAGCACCTTTAAACAAAAACCCTTAGCATTTTCAGTGTTTGTTGTTTCTGCAGTTTTGAATTTTGTATGTCACCAATTGCTCTTGTCATTGATATTTAAAACCATTTCCGCTATATTTGCATAGAGATAATTTAAGCACTATTTTACTCATAATCAGTACATATGTTTCTTTAAATTTCAGATACCTTGATTCTTTTTTTTCTTTTTTTTTTTTTTTTTTTTTTTTTTTACAGAGAATGCAGAGACTAGAAGGCATGTCTTTCAGAAGGTTTGTATAAATATAATGCAACTTTTCAAAGACATTATCCATTTGATTTTCTGTAAATGTTGTTATTGAAGAGGAGTAGTCTCAAACATAAATTGAATTTGGCCAAATGCAAGATTTACAAGCGTCTTGTTGCAAATAATTCTAGCATGTTGAATTAATGACTAACTTACTTACTTAAGTTAAAAATAAACAGTTTTCAATTTATTTCAAAGTATTTCTGGCTACAGATTTGAGCTGCAATGCCTAATAACCATCAGTCAATCTAATTCTTTTTGTATTGATTTTCAGCTGTGCGGAAAAAATGTTCACTTATAAATCTACACTCAAACAAAGTAATTTTCCTTATTGCAAAAATTCACAACTGAGGATATTTTTTTTTGATAAGTATGAATAAAATTTAGTCATATCTGTAGCTTGAAATGTTTGAAAAAATTTATACAAATAAAATATATATATTTACATGAATTATATTAAATGAATTAATTCTGTTTCTGAAATTTTTTGGGCAGTTCTCGTGTGTATTTTTAATAAGGAAAATAAGGTAAAAGTGGACTGTGAATCATTAAAATTTTGAACTTTCTCTTCAAAGTCTTGTCATAATAATGCTTATTAAATTGCTGAGAATATATTCCTGAGCCATGTGAAACTGCTTCAAGGAACCATGTGCAGCCGGCAGACGACCAGTTTGAGACAACTGCCTTGGAAAAACTTTTCTTTCTGTTAATACTTTGTTTTAAAAGATTATCAAAATGAGACGTTTTATTGTGTTTAAGATTCAACACTTACTGTCCCACTAAAAAGTTCAGGACAGGCCACATTATTTATTCTATTGTTATGATTTAATGAACTAAAGTATAAAGCAGTTGATGCAATTATTAAAAAAATATTGTTTCTTTAATTTTTTAATGTAAATGATTTAAATAAAAATATATTTAATTAATGAATTTTCATTTAAATGAATGGATTAAAACATTAAATATTTTTATAGAATTATATAAGTTATTTTTTTTCACTTTTTAAATCTATAGAAAATACATAATATTTTCTCATGTTAGTCTAAATGAATATTCATCTAATTTCCTATGAAATGTTTTGTTATTCCACTGGGCACTACGTCTGGTGACACTGTTTGCTATCTTCAACTGATTTAAACTGTATTAAATTTAAAATGATCCCTTTTGAGCAGTTGTTAACAATCTGAACCCTTTTCAATTCTTATCTTTCTTGTTCAGCATTGTTTTTTTTATTTAATAAAACTGGCGATATCAATATAAAGAAAATGCTTTGTATATTGAGTATGTACTCTGCTCAGTTGATAAGTGGATAGGCAATTTAAATAAACAGAAAGCTGCTGATAAATATGCCACACACTATTAAATATATTTATGAAATGAGAACTAAATAAAAATATAAGAAAGGATAAATTTATAGGAAATACATCTGATGTTATAAAAAATTTTTTTTTACCATATAAGAAAAGAGTTACCTGTGATCTATTTTCTGCACCTTTATGTGTGGTGGACATATGCCACAGCAATATTTAGGAAACTGCTATAGCAAAAAATCTTTCAGAAAAAAAAAAAAAGAGATATGCATTAATGAATTTTATCAGACTTCAGAGTGTAGCTATCTTGAATCTGTGAGACAATATTCTTCCCATCTGTAAAAAGCTGAATTGATTACATGACGAATGAAGTTTTGGGGGGATTCTTACCAGGTTTCCTGACTGGAAGTTGAAGACAACAATGTATCCCGATCATGCTCAATTGGATTCAAATCTGAGCACAATTCCATATCCTCTATTATTTCCTCCTCATGTATCACATTCATGAACCTGGCCATTTTGATGCATGAAAAGGGGGAAATCGCCAGTGGCAGCTGTAACATGCCATTACTAAGATTTTAAGAATTTAGTCTCTGTGAATTTGGAACCATCAGCGGATCCATTCTGAATGATGCACAGGTCAGTACATCCATATGCGCTGAAACAGGCAGGCTATTTCCAGCAAAAGGAGGTCTGTATTGGATTGTGTTACACTGAATTTTATTGAGTGTCACATTCTCTCCTAGATCAGAAGTCATCGATTAGACACGTCTCTGGGCCAGATTTGGATTCTTTGGGGATGAAAGCTTGGATGTGCATTTGTCCAATCTCAAAGTTCTTAAGTTCAGTTTCTTCAAGCTTTAAACTGCTCTGAAGACAGAAATGCATAGGACTAGCCCACACCTGGAAATACATTTGTATATTCTTTGTGCAAGTTTCTTGTAATAGTTCTTGAAAGCTTTTTTTTTTTTTTTTTTCAGTTTCATGACGTTTTGTCACCTGTTCAGAGGGGCCATTATTAGCGAATAAGGTCATTCTTTGAAGAAGTAACTTGCAAAAGACATTGACCAATATTGCTTGGTAGCAAAGTAGGTGGTTACTTGTTAGCCCAATTGAATCTTGGATGCTTATATCTGTTGTTGTCTGGCTTTCCATCTTGCTGTGGCTCATCATATGATGCTTTAATGAGAAATTCTTTTGACTCGGGACTCTGATCTGAAGTGGATGGAAAAATCTGCTGTCACTACAATAAATGGTACATATATACTGGTATTTAAATGTTAAAAAAAATTATACAGCACTTCAATTCTAATTTTCTCCTTTTCAGATCCTCAAACTCTGCAAGACATGCCAGTTACTTCTCGAAAGAGTAGTAAGTGGAGGTAATTAAGAGATTTTTTTTTTGGCTTATGCTGGAATTGAATCTTTTATATATATTTATTGTCATTTTATTCTTTTTTAACTCGATGGTTAGTATATTATTTCTGATTGGGTTTTGTTAATCGTGTAATGGTAATAAAAGTCTCGGTAAAATCAGGCTGCTTCAGATGCATTGAACCCTGTCAGATATGAATTCTTAGAATTTTGCATCATATTCTTCTTCTGAGGAATTATTTGCGCTAGAGACAAGCAAGTTATTGTCTCATTTATAGAATAGTGCAAAGAAGGTTTAAGCAAACTTAGCAGAAAGTTTAGCTTTGAATGTAAATTAATTCAATACCGGAACCTACCAATGCTAGCAAAATAGACTAATAATTAACAATATACGTGGATACTGTAGTGGTTATACTGGGGATCTGCCATATTAAAGCTATACTTCCCAGTAATCTGAGCGAGTCTCGGGGGGTCATAACTTGAAATGAAAGTCCAGCCACTACAGCATTCTAGAGCATAGAACAGCAGAACGTCAGTAGAAGAGCAGAAAAAAATAGCGTAAGTTCCTGAGACGCTTTGGGAAAAGGCATAGAGATGTCACTATAGGTGTCGCCATCTGGTGGTGGTGGAAATGGTGAGAAGATCTCGGAAAAGCTGGATGGTGAAGGCTGGGTTGCTGAGGATTAGGAGGCAGTGAAAAACTTGGAGGAAGTAACCTGGGTGAGAGGATAACAGGAATGACATTAGTAACCATTTTGATGTGAGAAAGAGCATCAATTTTCTTCACCATACACATGTTGAATATCAATAGTGAACTGACCTGTGAAATTGAGTTTATTTGCAAAGGGGAACGAATTTTAATGAAATGTATTTTAAATTATTTCTTGTTTTAGAATTTTACACTTGCATTTAATATCATCAAGTATAGGCAACTTCATCTGAGCATGATCATTCATCATTTTGGATGTTATGCAGTTCATGTGATTTTAACCTTGTCTGTCTATTTTTATATATGTCTTGTTTATCAGCTTGTTTAGTGCCTCACTGTATTGGCGCATATAACCCTTCAGGTTTTGTGCCAGAATTTATATATCCCGTCATTTCATCCTGTCCCCCCAGGGCATTAAAAAATTTGGAATTTTTGAAATGTTTTTCTCAGTAAAAATATTAATAATTTTTTCTTTAGCCTGAAAATTATAAATTTTGTTTTCTCTTTATTACAGTACAAAGTCTTTAATCTGGATTCGTCGGGACTTCGGCTATTCAGGGTTTTTCTGAATTATAGGTCATCAGTTTAAATCTAGTAAGATGGCATGCAGAAATTATAAAATTAAAAATATGAAACCGTAATTTATGAAATAAAGAGCAATTATGATCTAAAGGGTATCAAAATTTGCAAAAAAAAGCTTATTATTTATTTATTTACTTTATAAGCATTTCTTTCAATGCGCATGCGTAAAGCATACATTACGCATAGTCGAAATCAGAAAATTGCAACCAGGAAACTTTGATGTGTATTCGTGATATTTATAATGACAAGGAATTTGATTTAAATCATATGAAAAGGCAGAATACATCGAGAAATACATTACATTAGTAAGGAATTATAACCCGAATAAAATAAAAAAAAAGCATCTGCCCTGAAGATAAGAAAAGTGCTGACAGATAAATTTCCAGTTCATTGCCCCCCCCCCCCACAGAGCAGTGTGAAATTGATAAACAGATTTCGGAATGGTTATAGAAGAAACAAGGATATGCCTTTATCCATTTTTTGCAGCAGCAATTCCACTTTTTGTTTGATGGACATCGAAACGTGCTTTCGCTTTGTAGATCCTTTTATGGCTCCAGAATCGGAAACTCTTTTTGACATAATCGAAAGTTCAAGCTTACTTTTTATAAAATTGCTCTAACAGTCTGCAAAAAATAATAAGCCGGATCCAATTAGAAGATTAAGGAACAACAGAATCTGCAACATTAACTGAAATAGATAATTAGATAATTTTAGCCTAGCTTATACCGTCCGTTATGCATTAAACTTGCACACATAAGCGTATCATGTGCATGCGTAAAGGTATTACGCATGCGCAGAAAGTTTGTAGCTTTGAGGTCCGGATTATAGATCATTCTGGATTTTGGATGTTCGGATTAAAGACTTTGTACTGTATAAATTTCTTTTATATAAATCATATTGATAACTAATTCTCTAAAGCAGCAGATGTCATTCCTTTAAACAAAAGCCCTTAGCATTTTAAAACAGTGTTTAACTTGTGTGTAAACAAGTTAAGTGTTTTTAAGTGTTTTTTCTGCAATTTCGAATTTTATATGTCACCAATTATGTCACTTTTGCCATTGATATTTAAAACCATGGCCACTATATTTGTATACAGATATTTTTCAGTAAGAAAACAAGCCTATTTTTTACTTGAAATCAGTACATATCTGTCTTTAACTTTCAGATAATAGCTTAAAATTTTTTTTTTCAGAGCTTCAGGCAGAAAATGGAGTACCTGATGAAGGTGTGTATAATTATGATAAACTTTTCTATGATATTATCCATTTTATTTTCTGTGAGCATTATCATCTGAGAGGAGTTGTCTCAAATATAAGTTGAATGTGGGCCTGATGCATAAAACCGGCTTATTCAAAAATAATTCTTGTTATAAAATTAACAAACAGAGTAATGGCTAATTTTTGGACTTTATTAACAAAAAAAGGTAAAGAGAACTTACGTACGTCGTATTGTTTACATGACAGCTTTTAGAATGAAAAAATAATAGTGATGTACAGATGCCAGATGCATAAAACATAATAATACAACAAAACAATGATGCCACTTAAACTGCATATTAATACCAATTAAATGCTTGATTTTCAACAATTCTAATGATGTTGAATTAATGGTTAACTTACTTATGGTAAAAATAAACAGCTTAGAAAATATTTCCAAGTGGCCAAAACTTGAGTAGAAATAATGACAACTTATTCCTCTTTCTTTTATTTATTAAGCTTTGCTTCAGCCTATACTGAAAAACATATATCTATACATCAATAAGTGAATTTCTTTATTTTTGGCTACTGATTTGAGCTGCAACACCTGATATATGACCATCAGTCAGTCTCATTCTTTTCTTATTAAATTTCAACAGCTCAGAAAAAATGTTCACACGTAAATGTACGCTCAAATAAAATTATTATTCTTATTTTCAATAATTCACAACTGAGGGTATTTATATATTTTGATAAGAATGAATAAAATTTAGTCAGATCTGTAGCTTGAAATCTTTGAAAAAGTCTACTTCCATTTATGAGTATTTTTGAGTGATTCCCATATTTGTTTTGAAGGGTAAGCAAAATAATGTAAAAGTGGACTATGAATCATTGAAACCTTGAACTTCATCTTTAAAGTCTTGTCATAATAATGTTTATTACGTTGCTGAGAATATATTCCCAAGCCATGTGAAACTGCTAGCCAGCAGGCCACCAGTTTGAGACAGCTGCCTTGGAAAACTTTTCTTTTTGTTAATATGCTTTGTTTTAAAAGATTATCAAAATGAGACATTGTATTGTATTTAAGATTCAACACTTGACTGCCACTCTAAAAGCTCAGGACAGGCCACATTATTATATTGTTATGAATTAATGAACTAAACTATAAAGCAGCTGATGCGATTATTAAGAATATTGTTTCTTTAATTTTTGATGTAAATGATTTTAAATAAAAATACATTTAAATAATGAATTTTCATATAAATGAATCGGATTAAAATGTTAAATATTTTTATAGAAATTATATAACTTATTTTTTTTCCACTTTTGAAAACTGCATAAAATAAAAAATTTCTCATGTTAGTCTAAATGAATATTCATCTAATTTCCCATGAAATGTTTTGTTATTTCCACCTGGGCACTGTCTGGTGAAAATCTCAACTGATAAACTGTAATAAATTTAAAATGATCCCTTTTGAGCAGTTGTTAAAATCTGAACCTTTTCAATTCTTATCTTTCTTGTTCAATGTTTCTTTATTTAATAAAACTGGCGTCAATATAAAGAAAACACTTTGTAAATTGAGTATGTACTCTGCTCAATTGATAAGGGGATAGGTAATTTAAATAAACAGACAGCTGCTGATAAATATGTGGTACACTATTAAATATATTTATGAATGTGGGAACTTAATAAAAATGTGAGAAAGTATAAATTTACAGGAAACCCAACTATTATAAAAAATTCATTATTATACGTGTCTTTCAGAGAAAAAAGAGATACACACTAAGGAATTTTGTCAGAATTTTAATAAAGATTGTAGATATCTTGAGTCTGTGGGAAACTAAATATGTTACATGATAGATGAGGTTATGGGAGATTTTTCCCCAGGTTTCCCTACTGAATGTACAATAGATAAAGTTAAAAGTCTATCAACAGTGTATCCCGATCATGTTCTTGTGGATTCAGTTCTGAGCACCATTCCATAAGCTCTGTTATTTCCTCATGCGTTCAAGTTATGTGAAAAAGGATTTTTTTATGTATAAAAAATGGAATCGCCATGTGAATACTGGGCCATTTTGATGTATAAAAAGATGGAATCGCCAGTGGCAGCAGTACAAGGCATTACCAAGATTTTAAGAATTTCTTCTCTGTGCATTTGAGCCATCAGGAGACAGATTCTGAATGATGTAGAATGTAGAAGTCAGTACATCCATATATGCTGAAACAAACCTGTTATTTTCAGCTAAACGAGCTGTACTAAATTGTATTGAGTGTCGCATTTTGTCCAGATCAGAAGTCATGATTTAGCTGTCTCTGACCAAATCTGGATTACTTGGAGTAAAAAGCTTGGTTGGGCATTTCATCCAGTTCCAGAGTTTAGTTTTTTCGTATATATATGTGCTATATGAATTTCAAAATTTTGAAATGTTAGAAATTTCACCTCTCAGTTTGTGCTCCAGCTCTACCCAGAGCACTCAGCTCAATTCATCATCGCTCATAGTACCACCTTATGTGATTAAGTTCAGTTTCTTCAAACTTTACTTCAAGGCACCTGAAAATACATTTGTAAATTCTTTGTGTAAGCTTCTTTTAACAGCCACTTGTAATAGCAAGCTTTTTTTGCAGTTGCGTGACATTTTGTCACCTCTTCAGTGGGACCATTATTAGCAAATAAGGTCATTCTTTGAAGTAGTAACTTGTGAAAGACATTGACCAAAATCTCTTGGTACCAAATTAGGTGGTTGCTTCTTAGCTCACTCGAATGTTGGATGCTAATATCTGTTGATGTCTGGCTTTCCATCTTGCTGTGGCTCATCATAGGATGTTTTAATGCGAAATCCTTTTGACTGGGGACTGTGATCTGAATTGGATGGAAAAATCTGCTGTCTATACAATAAATGGTACATGTATATAGGTTTAAAAGAAACACTCCTTTTAAGAGACTTTCATATCACATTAAAAAAGTGTCTTAATTGTAAACATTGCATTTGCATTTTTAACAGCTTTCTGTGCCTGCTTTTTTCATTATCCAGAGTAATGAATTTTATTTCAAAGCAGTTCAGTAAACTACACTTTACTGAATTGGTTTGAAATAAAATATATTTTGAAAACTTTTTTTCTGTTGGCCAGCATCTGTACTCTTTGAGTTTCCAATTTTTCTTACCCATAAGCTCTATTTGCATTGAGTAATGCTGTGCATCTGTGTTAGAGATTATATGAAGTGCAATAAAATGCTTTCAAAGTTACTGAAGTTTTTAGTTGAATGTAAGAGTAATTTATGCAGCATTCTAATTGGAATTTTATCCTTTTCAGGTGTTGAAAAAGGTGCTTGGATTTAAAAAAGATTTCGATGATTTCCTGATGAGGGAAGCAGATGCCCTGCTGGATGCAGGTAATTAATAGTAATTTTTTTTGGCATATGTGGTAATTTAATGTTTAATATAGTGTCATTTTCTTCTTTTTTAACTCAATATTTAGTGTATTGTTTTCTATCTGGCATCTTGAATGCATTTTTAATATGCGTTTTTGTTGATCATATTTTGTTAATCATACAGAAAAGCTGATGATGATACAGATAAAGTATTGACAATTTAAAATAAATTTCTGTTTTGAATTGTTTATAATTTTGGTTTTAATTAATTAATTAATTTTTTAAATGAAGTGCCTTTCCCAAGAATCTATTTCTTTGTTAGATTCCATGTTAATGTTAATTTTTTGTTGAATATGCATTTTTGTTAAACACGCGTCATACATACAGGAAAGATTGATTTTTTTTTTTTTTATTTAAAGGAAAGGGACCTTATCATCAGGAAAGAGAGCCAGAAGAGGAGGATGAGGTAATTTTTCAATTAATATTTTTCTAAAGCATATATATCTAAAAAATTCATGAGTTTTGACTTATTTTAAACATTCAAAGTATATTTTAATTGCTGCAGCTGTATTTTTAGCAAGGAAAAACTTGGTACTTTTTACAAGTATTGTATTTAGGAAATCCTTAGTAGATTTATTATTCATTTTAGTATGGAGACTTAGACTAAAAAAAGTTTCTATTTTTATAAAACAGGAATATTAGTAGTTCTTGAATACCATAATCCTACCTAAGCAGTTTCTCTTTTCAAATTTTAAAGAAAATTTAGCTTACATTTCTCATGATTTTAAGGCTTTAGCAGCATATATTTTGCTTTAATGTCAATTCTCATGCACTTGTGGTCAGATGCTGGTTGTACGCACAGTTGTATATGCTGGTTGTATGCACAATTGAAATTTTTAGTACTGGCAAGTACATTAATCTTCAACACTATTTCATTTTTGTAAAAATCTCTCTCTCGGTGAACAGAAAACTAGTGTCGTAACTGTAAATGTTGTTTAGAAACCTGAAGCATCCTTAATGGGGATTTCTACCTAGCTGCAGGTAGTTTGAGGCTAAAATACTACATGGTACCTTTGTTTTATAGACTCCATAGAACGTCTTGTTTTATCCGAAAATAGTGCTTTTCAGTGGTATGGTAATAATGCTGTACAATATACAGTACACTCCCGATTATCCGCGGAATTGGGTGGCGCGGCCGCCACGGATAATCCGAAAAAAAGCTGAAAAACGGGAATAGCAAAAGAGAAAACAGTCATTCCAACTTTGAAAAATCGTTTTATGTGCAGTAAAATGTAAAATAAACAGCAGTAAGTAAATGTTTAACTAACGCTTAATATTTTAGTATATCACTCAAAACTAACCTAAAATGCATTTTGTTAATGAAAACAGAAAAGTGCTTTGTATACTTACGAGAGGCGTCAAGGATACACAGAAAAATTAATACATATGTACTGTTTAATACTGTAATGTATTATGTATTACATAAGCATAACTGTTGTAAAACTACATCTTTTTGAAGAAATCAGTTATTGTGTATCTGAACTTTTAGGGAATATATTTCAGAATCAAATGTATCATTGTCAGTTCCATTTAATTAAAATTCTGAGGTCTTTCGTGTGGATAAGTTCTTCATAATGTAGCATAGTATAACACAATGCAGTGGTTTATGTAGTCTAAGAACTTAGCCCTAAAGATGTGTAAATAAGTCAATCCTAATAGTCTATGCCACACCTGAATACTTTAATTATTAATTTGTAATGACTGACACAATGAGTCGTATGTGGAACTGCCTTTCTCAAAAGACTTCATGAAAGATATGAAGGGTATTTTTTATTAACTCACGTTGTGAAAATTGCAACAAGAAGGAATCGTCATAATTGAATGCAATTTAATACACAGTTGAGTGGTAGTGGTACAAATAAATGATTAAATTTCAAAGCAAACAAACAAGAACAAAGATCAGAATCAGTATTTTGTGTGGCCACCACGCGCCGCAATAAGTGCTGCTACGTGGCATGGAGTCAAACAAAGTTTGAATTTGACTGAGGAAGAGCATTCCATATCGTTTGTACGCGTACCCAAAGTTTTGCAGACGCAACAGGACGAGGATCACAAGCAAGACGCCGACCAATGACATCCCACACATGTTCAATTGGCGACATATTCCGGGGAACACGCAGGCCAAGGAAGAAGCTGTACCTGCTGCGCTCAAAGAAGGATTTAACAATCCGAGCAGTATGAGGGCCATTGTCTGTTGAAATACAGCGCCTGGTAAGCTTTGAAGGAAGGAAACAGCTTCGGGCAGTAGAACTTCACGGATATACCGGTTGCTGTTCAGATTGCCCACAATTCGTAGCAATTGAGATCGTCTATGATATGCTATGGCGCCCCAGACCATAACTCCGGGTGTTCGTCCACTGTGGCGTTCGATAATGCATCCGGAAGGTGGCGTTCACCGGCAAAGCGTCTGACACGAATGCGGCCATCATGGTACCACAAAAATTAAAGCGGGATTCGTCAGAAAGAAAAAACGACATGCTGCCAATCAGCATGCCAGTCTCTATGCTGATTGGCCCATTGTAGCCGCAGGCGGCGATGGTCGTGCGTTAGGGGGATCCTGTATAAAGGAGTCCGTGCGCGCAGTCCACACTGCAGCAAGTCTATGAATTGATGAAGCACACAAATGAAACACCTGTAGCTATTGACCACAGTGCTGCCAATTGTCTAGAGGAAGCTGTACGGTCCGTCCGCGCCATGCGGACCAGGTGTCTATCATCGCGAGCTGACGTACATTTCGGGGTCCACTATTTCCCAGTTTCCGACAATCCGTCCACTGCTTCCAAACGTGCATCACTGTGCTGCTGTTACGCTGCACACGAGAGGCTACTGCACAATACGACAATCCAGCTTCAAGAGGCCGATGATTCTCCTCATTCAAACTCTGTAAGTTGTTCAAATCTCGCTCTCTTTCGTCGACGAGGCATAAGTACAGATTGAGTTAACGTTTACCACTAGCAGATAAAGATAACCATTAAAAAATTCGGATCCATTTCAGAAGCATAATATATTGATATTTGCATATCATTACTTTTTTTGAAAATTTTAGTTTAGTGTTAATAAAAAGATGTTTGTAGGTATTCTGTTGTAATATCTTATTTGACATTGTTATTGCTGCACTGATCTCATAGATACATATCTGATGCCTTTTAATTTGATTCTGCACAATGTTTTTCGATTTAAGCACGCAGAATTCCAAATGTGTAATGCTGTTTGAATGCTTAATGAAGCTATTGTGAGGTCAGGAAATCTAGAACAAAAAAAACTGTATCAAAAGTACATCCCATTCATCAGACTCCTGTTTTCATTCTCCTTTCAAAGTCCGATGGACATAGCTCAGGACAAATGCACACAAAGCTGTTTAAAAAAGCTCAAAAATTCACATCCAGCAATGCAGAACTTTTCATAATTTATATTAGTTTTTACTTAATGTCAGTATCTCATAAAAATTGGCATACTGCTTTCTCAAGGTTTTTGACATCCGATTGTAAATGTAAAAAACATTTTTAATATGTGCAATAACTGTTGAAAATTTCTAAATATATTTGTTACTTTTGCAGGTTATAGCATGGCCTCTGAATCTTCTACCTCCTGCTCTATGGTCCGAAGTAAGTTTTCTGCATCGTCAGATATATATATTATAAGGAGAACAATTAAATATCCATCAATTCAGAATCTGATTGATGTTTTTAATTCATAATTTAACTAATGTTTTCCTCAAGATTTGACTTAGCTTTTTTATCAGTAGTCAGCTTAGTGTAAGAGCTTTTAGTAGACATCAGTGCTTAGTCATAATTTCCAAGCTGAAGATAAGTCTCGTTTATTGGAAGCATTATTTTGTTATGTTAATGTTTAAATAATGTAACGTTCTTTATGGTTATTGCAAGGAATCATTTCTTTTTAATAGAAGGTAATTTTGAGGTGTGTGTGGATGAGTTCTTTATAGTGTTGCATAGTTTAGCAAAATGTAGCAGTAAAAAATATAAAATAATAGCCTAGAAATTTCCTCTTATTTCTTTTTTATAAGGAATGCATAATTTTCCTAAATAGAAATATGTGAAAAAAATTTACATTTTTAAATATATAATCTTTTACATTTAAAAATGACACAACAGGAATATTTGGGTTATTTAAAACATTTTTTTAAGTGGAAGTATATATATCTGTGATAAACAGACAAAGCAGTTGTGCAAGCAAAGGCCAGGGAAAGAAGATTTTGCTAGATTTTTTGATTGAATTTTTTACAACAAGAATCTTATGTGCAAGGTTGGCTTATATTTGGAAATTTTGGTACTCTGTTAAATGATTGCTGCTGTTCCTTTAAGTATTGTTTTCTTGCACTTTTTCCAGTGTTGCAATAATAACAATTCTATTTTCTGTTGTCATGTATTTTCGTCTAGTAAATATTTCATACATCGAATACTCTATATTTCATAATTTCATTTCTTGTGTTATTGTGGACTTTAATATTTTACCGATATTTATTAAAAATTATGAGTTTAAATAAATATAGGTAAAATATTGAATTTTATTCTTGTTTTATTTTCTTTTGTCATTTAGAAACATTTTTTCCATGCCATTCTTTTAGAAAAAGAAGCTCAGTTTTGGGAAATGACAATACAGATGTGTGGTTTTATGATCGATGGCTAGTTACCATTATGACATGAAAATGCTTTTTTAAAATTTGAGAAAAAATAATAAAAATTTTGAAATAAATTTTGTTTACTTTTGAATAGAAGCACAATATAACAATATGCACATAAATGACACATAGGGTACCATTTTTGTTTGGAATCTGAAATCTTAGGGAATAAACTTAGGGGAGTCTACTGTGAGAGGATGATAGAGGAAAACATTTGCTTGGGTATCATTGTATCATACACCAAGAACAGCTATGTGCGAAAGAACTAGGATTTGACCGCCTAATGAAAGTAGTGAGCGATGTAATCAATTTTATTCCCTCACATGCTTTTTAAACCACAGTCAATTTAAGGAAATCCTAGAACACACAGATGCATCACATAGTGATCTCATATATTACTCTGAAGTACGATGGTTGAGCCGTAGAGAAGCTTTGAAAAGGCTTGCTGATTTGATTGATGAAATAATACAGTCAAAAGTCGTTAATCCGGACTCGTCGGGACTTCGGGCCATTCCGGATTATAGATCATCAGTTTAAATCTGGTAAGATGGCATGCAGAAATTATAAAATTAAAAATATGAAACTGTAATTTATGAAATAAAGAACAATTATGATCTAAAGGGTATCAAAATTTACAAAAAAAAAGCTTAATATTTATTTGTTTACTTTATTAAACATTTCTTTCAATGTAAGTTGTTTAAGTTGCTTCGTTTTATGTGATAATACTTTCTCTTTAATTCTGTAAACGGACATAATTTCTTGTTCAGTTACAAAGTTCCGCTGTTCAAGTTCTATAATTGCTGTGTCGAGAATACCGACTAATTTGTCAATTCGAAATTTTTTTCGTTTTCAATAACCTCTGTGTCACTTTCTTCACTATCGGAAGCGAATTATAATGACGAGGAATTGGATTTAAATCATATCAAAAGATGGAGTACATCGAGATGAAATACTACATTTAGTAAGGAATTATAAGCCAAATAAAATAAAAAAAACATCTGCCCTGAAGATAAGGATACTGCTGACAGATCAACTTTCCAATTCATTGCGCGCCGCGGCGTTCCCCCCGCCCAGAGCAGCGTGAAATTGATAAACAGATTTCGGAATGGTTAGAGAAACAAAGACTATGCCTTTATCCATTTTTTGCAGCAATTCCACTTTTTGTTTAATGGACTTCGAAACACACTTTCGCTTTGTAGATCCTTTACATATTAGTAAATATATATCGGAAATTCTATTTGACATAATCGAAAGTTCAAGCTTACTTTTATAAAACTGCTCTAACATTCTGCAAAAAATAATAAGCCGGATCGAATTCGAAGATTAAGGAACAACGCAATCTGCAGCATTAACTGAATTAGATAATTTTAGCTTAGCTTATACCGTCCATTATACATTAAACGCGCATGCGTAAATGTATTATGCGCATGCACACGCATATTCGCAGCCGTAAGGGTCAACGCGACGCATGCGCAGAAAGTTTGTAGCATTGAGGTCCGGACTATAGATCATTCCGGATTATGGGTGTCCGAATTAACGACTTTTGACTGTACCATTCCTTGATGAAAATGGCAAGCAAACTAGGATGCTAAAGGAACCATCTCTTAAGTGTAAATTAGCATTTTTAGTTGATGTGAGAGCTATTCTGAATGACCTAAAAAAAAAAAAAAAAAAAAAAAAAAAAAAAAAAAAAAATGATGGGAAAAAAAAAAACAATTCATCAATCACCTGGCCAATGCAGTATCTGCTTTCAAACTAAAACTCCAGCTGTTCTCAAAGCAACGCTTGGCTGTCAAAATTTTGTCAATTTTTTTTTTTTACTTGAAGAAACTCAAAGAAAATTTTTTAGATAAAGAACTGGCTTATTCAGATCAAATAAAGAGGCTGCTTATTTCTTTTGAAAAGCGATTTACAGACTTTGAGTTGCATGAGGTTAAATTTAAACTGGTCAGGGATCCATTGTAGTCGAAGAAGGTCCAGAAGATGTTCAATCAGAACTTATCAATTTTGTAGTTGAAGAAGGTCCAGAAGATGTTCAATGAGAACTTATCGATTTACAAACTTCTGACTTTTGCAAATCCAGATTCCATGATTTAGATATTCTGGACTTTTATAGAACTCCACCTGCCGAATTTTTGCACTTAAAAAATAATGCAAGCAGATTTGCTACCATGTTTGGTAGCACATATATTTGTGAACAAACATTTTCTCTTATGAATCTAAAAAAAGTCAAAATTAAGAAATAGAGTGACAGATCAACACTTGCAATCTGTGTTATGAATATCAACAACTAACTTTAATCAAATATATCAAAAATTGTTCATAAAATTCAGTCTCAACCATCACACTAATGTATTTAATATTAAACTATGGCTAACTTGTACACATTTTTATTAAAATATTTGTATACAAGTATTAAATTCTCATACACAAAAGCTGAACTGGGTGTTTTGGGACCAGTAGTACATGCAAGGGAAAACCCATCCCTCTTAGCTTACATACACACATAATGGTCTCCAAATCAATTTTAATCTGATTACATGTCTGAATTGCAAATTAAACGACTTATTGCATTGAACCGACCCTCCCTTCAAAAAATGTTTTGCATACGCTTTTGGCCACTAACAGAAACAACCAAGTTGTTTCTTTTAGTGGCAACTTCTGCTAAAAAAGTTTTTGCATCCCTACTTTAAAGTATTTTTCCGCATTTACTTTGCACATGTGCATACGTGTTTCTTAGATTGTAAAAATATCTATATATTTAGCTATATTTCACATAAGATACTTAACACATTTTGCGAAATAATGTTGACTGCAGAAAAATAGATCTTCAGAATGTCCATCATGCAGTTATTTTTAAGATTTTGCAGTGATGTTTGGATTGCAGTTAGATTTTCTTTATTGTATGTTCAGTGTAAGAGATTTCAAAACCTTCCTCTTGAAATATCTGATAGTTTAACTAACATTTATGAAAAAAAAAAAAAAAAATGAATTTAAAACTGGAGAGTTCTACGGGTGGGAGTTTTCAAAATGTTGCTTTTATAGATTTTAATAGTTTACCGATATTTATTTAAAATTATGAATTCATTTGTTTTATTTAGTTTTGTGATTTAGATGTATTTTTTCATTCAATTCTTTCAGAAAAAGAAAATCGTTTTTGAGAAATGAGAGTACACATGTGTGGTTTTTATGATCCGTGGACAGTCACCATCCTGACATCAAAATTTTTTTTGAAAATTAAAAGAAAAGGAATTTAATAATAAAAATTTTGAAAGATATTTCGTTTTTTTTAATAGGATCTCAGTATAGGAACACACATATAAATAACATATAGGGTTTTTTTTTTTTTTTTTTTTTTTTTAAATGGAATCTAAGCGTTTAAGGGGATAAATTTCAGAAGCAATAAATGTATCAATTCAATTCTATTTAATTCATAATTCTGAGGTCTTTTGTGTGCATAAGTTCTTCATAATGTAGCACAATAGAACAATGCAGTGGTAAGGGAACATTACGTAGTTGCCTGAGAACTTTTCCCTGAAGATGTGTAAATAAGTAAATTCTAATGGAGTCTATGCCACATCTGCGACTTAACACTGACTGACACAATGAGTCGTTCGTGGAACTGCCTTTCTCAAAAGACAGAAAGGAAGTCTTCAGGAAAGACGTGAAGGGTATCTTTCCAGATTACTTAGTGTTAATAAAAAGATCTTTGTAGGTCTTTTATTGTAATACCTTATTGACATTTATTATTGCTGCACTGAGCTCATAGATGCATGTCTGATATCTCTTAATTTGATTCCGCATATTATTTAGCACAATGTTTTTCGAATGCAGAATGCATGCAGAATTCCAGATGTGTAATGCTATTTGAATGCTTAAACACAGAACAAACAAAATAGTATCAAAAGCAATGTGTCATTCATCAGACTTCATTTCTCATTCTCCTTTCAAAATCCAATGGACATTGCTCAGGACAAATGCACACAAAGCTGTTTAAAAAACTCAAAAATTCACATCCAGCAACATAGAATGTTTTCGTAATTTATATTCGTTTTTTTGTGAATATCATATAAAAATTGGCGAACTGTTTGCTCAATATTTTCGCCATCTGAGTGTAATTGTAAGAAATGTTTGTAATATGTGCACTAACTATTGAAAGTTTCTCAATATGTTTGTTACTTTTACAGCGAGAGGCATCCCTTTTCCAACCACCTTCTCCACCTCCAATTACACCCCCTTGCCCACCTAAGGTAAGTTTTGTTCATCTTCATATATATTATAAGAAGTACGATTAAGTATCTGTCAATTAAGATTTTGAATGTTTTTAATTCATAATTTAACTAAAGTTCTTAAGATTTGATATAACTTATCAGTAGAGATTTTTTATCAGTAGTCAGCTTAGCGTACGAGCTTTTAGTAGACATCTGTGCTTAGTTTTAATTTCCCATCTGAAATTAAGTCTTGTTTATTGGAAGTATTATTTTGTTAGGTTAATATTTAAATAATGTAAAGTACAGTAACTTCTTTTTATGGTTTTTGCAAGGAATCATTCCTTTTATGGACATAATGAGTCATCCGTGGAACTGACTTTCTCATCCTCTACAGCTTTAATAACTGAAGACGAGAAAGATTAAGCACAAAATTGAATTAAAAAAGTATCAAAATACTTTTGTTTGAATAGAAAAACAATGAAAAATATGTAATCTGAAATTTGGAATCTGAAATTTTAGCAGATAAATTTCTAAATTTAATTCATTATTTTGGGGTCTTAAGTTCTGCATAATATAGGTAGTATAACAAAATCTGACATACATGGCTCAATGTAAATGCACACGAAACTTTTGAACTCGAAAAATTCACTTCCAGCAACTCATAATTTTTTCATACTTTATGTTAGTTTTACGTCAGGTCAATACACTCATAAAACTTGCATGCAGCAATCTCTAGATTTTGATATGTGATTGTAAATGTAATAAAAGTTTTTAATATGTGCACTATTTATTCTGTTAGTTGTTTCTAAAGTATATTTGTTACTTTTATAGGGCAATAGGAAGAAGCGGAAGAGGACAGAGTCTCCTGTCCCAATGCCTCAAGTAAGTTATTTTTTGCAGCAGCAGAATTGGAAGTAAATAGTGGTTCTAATCTGGTAGCATTTTAGACACCTTTTATTTAATGAGAACGATATTACACAATGTGAATTTGAATTTTTGACACTAAAACTGCTATTCCTTGCTGGGTGACCAACAAAAGTAGAGTTTAACTGTAAATGTTGTTTATAAACCTGAAGCATCATTAATGGGGATTTCTACAAATTTGTGTGTTTTGAGTCTAAACTGCTAGATGCTAAATTTTTTTCTTTAGAATCCATACAGCATCTCAATTTTATCCAAAATAAGTGCATTTCTACAGTATGTTAATATGTAGTAAGGCAGATCCTTAAGAAGTAATTATTTTTCCACAATATTTATTCTGCTTATATTTTTTACATTGTAAAAGTTTACTATATATTGGATTTCACAAGCATATTTTGAAAAATAATTGTTGGACTATACGAAACTAAATCTTAAGAATTTCCATCATACCTTGAACATACTTATCTCGAAGATTATGCAATTCATGTTTTTAACTGCAATTAAAAACTGCAGAATTCTATGTGGTGGGTGATTTCAAAATGTTGCTTTTATAGATTCTAATAGTTTACCAATATTTATTTAAAATTTTGAATTCATTTGTTTTATTTAGTTTTGTGATTCAGACAGGTGTGTTTTGCATACCATTCTTTTAGTAAAAGAAACTCAGTTTTTGAAATGGCAATACAAATGTGTGCGATTTTATGATTTGTGGGCAGTTACCATTATGACATCAAAATGCTTTTCTAAACTTTGAGAGAAATTAAATTTAATAAATTTTTTAAATTTCATTTACTTTTGAATAGAATCTTCAACATAGCAGCATAAACATAAATGACATGCTGTAATCTCAAGCTTTTTGATATGTGATTGTAAATGTGAGAAATATTTGTAATATGTGCACTAACTACTCTAATAGTTGTTTCTAAATACATTTGTTACTTTTATAGGGCAACAAAAAGAAAAGCAGGATTTTACTCCACACCATCCACCTCCTCATATCCTGGTCCATCATTCGGTGGAGCAAGCAAAATGCCTTTTTGGCATCCCCCCGAACAAAGTGATGTGATGAGGTTTTTGTTTGGGGACCATTTGGCATCCCTGTGTGAGGAGCGCCCGAGGCATCATACACCCCCTTGCCCCCGCTCGCTACACCACTGCCATCATTCCCTTCCAAGTAAGTTTTGTACATCTTCATATATATTGTTTACAACAGAACTAGAATTAAATAATTGTTTAAATCTGGTAACATGATAGTTCCATTTCAGATAACTTAAAAGATTTTATTTTGTATTTAAAAACTTTGTTACAGCGAGTCATCAGGGCAGTGATGAGGTCCCAGTGACCAGGGCACAAAGTCAGGTCCCTGGGACGAGGACATCATTAATTTTAAGACAAATTTAATTAAATTTAATTTTATGTAATTTAATTTGTTTCATATTTTTCAATTTTTAATGGAGATATTTCGAGTTTTTATGTAATTTTGCATTGCCGCGAAGTGAGAATTGAATTGAATGAGAAATATATCTCAAATTGAAGGAATTAAGTTTAAATGAAATGTAGCAAAAAATGTGTATACTTTAATATGCTATACATGAGAAAGTTGTGGTGTCCACATCAGAATTTTTATGAGGATTTTCCTTAAATAGAAAAGGAAAAAAAATGTATAGAATGTTATATTTTGTAATTTATAATGTTTTACATTTAAAAATGCCAAAACATGAATATTTGGGTCAAAATATTTTTGTAACTGGAAGTATGTATATCTGTGGTAAACAGACAAACAGTTGTGCAGGTAAAGGCCAGGGAAGGAATTTTGCTGTTTTTGTCATGTAACTTGATTTATGATGCAATTTGCACATATGTGTCTTCAGTTTTGATTGTGTTTTTACAAAAAATCTTGGCCTGTCTGCAGGTTGGCTTATAACACTGGTTATCATAAATTAAGGAAAAATCAAAAAATACAAAAATAGCGATAACTCTCCCTCAAAAATAAGCCAAACCGTGTAAAATTTGCAAAAATAAGCCAAACCATGTAAAATTTGAATGTGTTGCCAAGTAAGAGTAGCTGAGTAAAACTGCGATATGCAAATTAGTGGCGCTGCTTTCGGAATACGTCATCTGCGAGGAGCATAAAAGTCCATGTTTGAGAGCAAGCCCACATATTTCACTGTGACAGTGACATCAGAAATCTGAGATAGCCAATTCGTAACAATGACCTCCAGGCATCGTCTGCTTGCAGAACTGCGATGGAGAGCCATTGGGAGACTAGAGGCAGGACAAAGTCAAACAAAAGTGGCCAGATGGTTAAATGTGAGTCCTTCTGTGGTTCATAGACTTTGGAGGCAATTTCAAACCACAGATTCGGCATCTAGGAGGTTCAGCCAAGGACGGCCAACTGCTACGACGAGCGCCGATGACCGATATTTGACATTATGTGCAAGCAGGAATAGAACCGCTACTCCGACTCTTCTTAGATCCTCCCTTGCTGCAGACACCGGAAGGTTGGCGTCAACGTCAACTGTGCGTAGAAGGCTTCACGAAGGTGGTCTGTATGCGAGGCGAACAACCATTTGCGTGCCGCTCACATCTTGCCATAGGAGGGACCATTTTCAGTGGTCACTACAACATGTCCACTGGAAGCTTGATCAATGGAGGGCGGTTGTCTTTACGGATGAGTCAAGGTTTAGTCTAGAAAGGGACAGTAGGCGTTATTTGATATGGAGAGAGAACCTAGAACCCGTTATCTGTCAAACATCCGTGAAAGAGATGCATACGGAAGGGGCAGTGTCTATGTTTGGGGTGGCATCTCTTTGGGTGGACGCACAGACTTCCATATCTTTACAAGGGGAACCGTGAATGCTCAGAATTATAGAGATGACATCCTTGATGTTTATGTGCGCCCATATTCTGGGGCAATAGGTGAAGCTTTCCTGTTGCAGGACGACAACGCAAGACCACACAGGGCTCACATCATAGATGATTATCTTCAACAGGAAACAATTATGCGCATGGAGTGGCCAGCTCAATCCCCGGGCTTGAATCCTATCGAGCACATTTGAGATGCTTTAGGGAGACGTCCAGCTGCTCTCAATCTGCCCCCTCAGACCCTTGTCGCGCTTGCAACTGCTTTGCAAGAGCAATGGCTCTCGCTTCCTATGGAAATGATAGACTGCGTAATTGAAAGCATCACACATCGCTGTATTGCTTCTAGAGGCGATCATATTCCATATTGAAGGCATAGCAAACTGACATCTTCGATTTGTTCATTTTATACGTGTACTAATTTCTATACTACCATATTTGTCTGATAATTTCTTTTTATGTTATTTGATACCTTACTATGTGTTGTATATTGTGAGTAAGTTTCATTAAATTCTACATGTAACATTTTCAGTAATCATGATTTTTTTAATTTTTCCTTATTTATGATAAACCAGTGTATTTGGAAATGTTTGGTAGTCTGTTAAATGGTTACTGCTGTTGCTTTATGTATTGTTTTCTTGCTCTCATTTCACTGTTGCAATAGCAATTCTACTTTCTGTTGTCATTTATTTTTGCTTAGTAACTATTTCATATATCATATAATCTGTATTTCGTACAATATTTCATAATTTCATTTCTTCTAGTATTGTCATGGAATTGCTGAATTGTGTCTGGTTGTAAGGAGTTTTCCATTAAAAAAACGTTCTTAATAAAGTTAGGAGGGAAATATATTATTTTGCATATGTGCACATGAATGTTTCTCCAGGGTTTGTACGGTCCTTAAGAGTCCTTAAAAGTTCTTAATTTCAACCAAATTTGGCAAGAGGTCTTTAATTTTAATCATCTGAAATTTGTCGGTTTTCAGGACTGCCATTTTGAATGTGAAATAGTACTTTGAATAAATATTTTGGCCTTTCACTGAGGTATATAGTTATCTTTTGAATGGGTGAATAGGTTCATGGATTATAATTTGTTCCTATTTTTAATATAAATGGTGGGATACTCAAGTTTCTAAGCAAGAAGTGAAACGCATGCTTTTCGAAATTATTTCATTTTTTCTAATGAAGAGCTCTAAACAACTTTTTATGTTTTGGGAATGTGAATTCTTAATTGAACGGTTCCAAGTTTGGCGACTTATGAACATTTTGTCGATTTTAAGATTATTTTCTGTAGAAAACTTTTAATTCGGAAATTTGGTAATTTTCGATGATATTTTTTAAAAATATATCATTGATGAATTTCATTGAAATAATGCTAATATATTGAAATTGTATTTAAAAAATAACATTAAAATGAAACATTTGTATTTTTTGCTATCATATAAAGTGACAATACTTTTGATTATAGCAACTTATTATGCAATATTTTGAATCTGAAAAATTAACAAGACAATAAATGCTTTCTGCTTTCCTTTAGCTTTAGAACCCAACCCATGTAGTCCAGTTTTCTCTATAAAATTGATTTTATACTTTTTCCCTCTGATTTTTTTTTTTCAAAATATTTCTGCCTTTTTGCTGTTACAGAATTGGCAAGGGTAATATTTCTTTAGGATTTTAGACATTGCAACTTGAAAAGTTTAGAAGGATTTGGATATATGCACATAGAAAAAGAGATCGGTCACATTTCGCTTTGTGCCGGTATCTGTGCAATTTCTATTTCATTAAAAATAAGAAAACTTTCATGTAGAATTTTATTGAAAACTAAAACATTTTTATTGTGATCGCAAAGAGGTGGCACATGTTAAATGATTCGCAGGCACCCAGTTGCCCGTGGCTGTCATACAGTTATCTCAAGGTTTTTACTTCCCTGTACGAAGTAAAAAGGAAGTATTGTAATCACGAAAATTTTCAGGATTTCAACGAAAATATCCCATTTTGACCTCTTTCAAATGCAATTTAACAATGTATTTCCGTGATATCTGTATGTAAGGACAGAATAAAACACTCTTTTCCTTCAAAAAAATTATAAAACTGCTTTAAAATGAATTCTGAAGAGAATTTTTCGTTGCTTCTGTACGTACGTATGTATCTTGCATAACTCAAAAACGAGTAGCCTCAGAACGTTGAAATTTTGTATATAGGACTGCTATAACATGTAGATGTGCACCTCTTATTATGGTTGCAATCGGCCGCACCAAACGTATATAAATATATTTATATATATATCCACTCTGTTACCCGGCTCAGTGATCTCAATTTCTTTACTCTTATATGTTTGTAAATTGTACATTTTTTGCTTTAAAAATGATTGAATTATGTTGTATATATTTTTTACTTTAATAGTGTGTGGCATCCTCAACTTTTGCACCACCTCCTTCACCTCCTTGCCTGCCTGAAGTAAGTTTTGTGTATCTTTATATATATTTAAAAAAGAATGATTAAATATCTCTAGGTTTTGATATGTGATTGCAAATGTTAGAAATGTTTGTAATATGTGCAGTAACTATTCTGTTAGTTGTTTCTAAATATATTTGTTACTTTTATAGGGCAATAGGAAGAAGCGGAAGAGGGCAGAGTCTCCTGTCCCAATGCCTCAAGTAAGTTATTTTTTGCAGCAGAATTGGAAGTAAATGGTGATTCTAATCTGGTAGCATTTTAGACTCCTTGCATTTAATGATAACGACATTTTTTTACTTATTTCACAACACACTCTTAATGTCCAAAATTGTTTGACAAAATATATTAAACACACCAATGTGAATTGGAATTTTTAATTCTAAAACTGCATTAATCTTCAATACTATTCCATTTTTTATATAAATATCTCTCTGGGTGACCACAAAAGTAGAGTTGTAACTGTAAATGTTGTTTATAAACCTGAAGCATCATTAATAGGGATTTCTACAAATCTGTGCATTTGAGTCTAAAATGCTAAATGATAAATTTTTTCTATAGAATCCCTGCAGCATCTCATTTTATCCAAAATAAGTGCATTTCTACAGTATGTTAATATGTAGTAAGGTTCTGCAAATATATGCAGATCCTTAAGAAGTAATTATTTTTCCACAATATTTATTCTGCTGATATTTTTTACATTGTAAATGTTTCTATATATTGGACAGAGCATATTTTGAAAAATAATGTTGACTATACAAAACTAAATCTTTAGAATTTCCATCATACCTTGAACATACTTATCTCGAAGATTATGCAATCATGTTTTTAACTGCAATTAAAAACTGCATAATTCTATGTGGTGGGAGTTTTCAAAATGTTGCTTTTATAGATTCTAATAGTTTAACATTATTTATTTAAAATTATGAATTCATTTGTTTTATTTAGTTTTGTGATTCAGGTATGTATTTTGCATGCCATTCTCTTAGTAAAAGAAACTCAGTTTTGAAATGGCAGTACAAATGTGTGATTTTATGATTTGTAGGCAGTTACCATTATGACATCAAAATGCTTTTCGAAAATTGAGAAAGTAAATTTAATAAAATTTTGAAATTTCATTTACTTTCAAATAGAATCTTAATATAGCAGCATAAACATAAATGACATGCTGTAATCTCAAGGTTTTGATATGTAATTATAAATGTAAGAAATATTTGTAATATGTGCATTAAGTATTCTAATAGTTGTGTCTAAATATATTTGTTACTTTTATAGGGCAACAGGAAGAAGAGGAAGAGGGTGGAGTCTTTGACCCCAGTGCCTCAAGTAAGTTATTTTTTCAACAGAATTGAACGTAAATGATGGTTCTAATCCGGTAGCATTTTAGGCTCCTTGTATTTAATGATAACGATATTTTTTTACGTATTTCACAACACAGTATACTAAAGCAAGTCTCTTTCATTCAAATGCGAAAAATTGTACGACAAAATATGATTAAATATGCCAATGCAAACTGATGGCACAGATGATATTTGCAACTGCGGGAAACTTTTCTTAAAAACCTGATATTTATAATTCTATATGTATGCTATAACTGTCATAAAATAGTTACGTTTTCTATTGTTGTCGTGTTGGTGTGAAGTTGGCATGTAGATTATATTTTCTAAGAATTATGTACTTCTCATAAAAAAACACATTATACTAATACATAAAGAGAACACTTTATGAGGATTAATCACAACAAGCCTTACACACCGTTTATCAAAATCATAATAATCTCTCTAGATGCCAGACACATTTTTTAACTCAATCTTTTACAATCTAAGAAAAAATATCATTGTTGCCAAAACATTAAAACTTAAAATTATCCTTTATAAGCAAATACTGTGACATTGGAGGGTTATGAAATCTGTGGCTTTGATCAAGTTTCCCCCCCCCTTTATGTTTTTATGCTTCTTTCCCACAAACAAAAGCTTACTTAGTTAAGATATAATAATCTGCTTGCTAATAATAGAAAAAAGTTAATAAAATATTAGTAAATAGTGAAAACTATTGCCAGCTTGTGAATGAATTGCCGTCTAATTTTAATTCTCAATGCCATGGAAAGGGTTGGTTACCTGGGTAACCAAAGAGCTGACAAACTATGCCCAGTTTTATTTATTGTATGCTGCCAAATTTTTTATTGTTTATGAATGAAACTTTTTGCTTGAATTTCCAAAGATTATATTTCTAATTAAAAATTTTTGTTTCAGCACCGCCCAGTCACGAGGTCAATGACGAGAGCTTGTGGGACAGGGATGCCATTTCGGGTAAGACAAATGAAATTTATGTTTTATCATATTTTTCAATTTTTAATGAAGGAATTTTTAGTTTTTACATATTTTTCTCTTGTCACGGAGTGAGAACTGAATTAAATGAATGAAAATATATCTCAAATTTGAGGAATTAAGTATAAATTGAAATGCATTAAAAGTGTGTATAAATACTCCATACAAGAGAGTCATTGTGTTCACATCAGATTATTTTTAATAAGGAATGCATCTGAAAGATTTAAAATTTGCACATATGTGTCTTCAATTTTGACTGAATTTTTGCAACAAAGTCTGGATTGTATGCAGGTCGGCTTATATTTGGAAATGTCTGGTACTTTGTTAAATGATTGCTGCTGTTTTTTAAGTATTGTTTTCTTGCTCTTATTTCAGTGTTGCAATAGCAATTATATTTTCTCAATTATCTAGTAAATGTTTCAAATGTCATATAATCTGTGTTTCGTACAGTATTTCAGAATTTCATTTCTTATAGTATTGTCATGGAATTGTATTGTTGAAATGTGCCTGATCTTAAAGAAAGTTTTCCATCAAAAAAACGTTCTTAATTGCATTAAAAAAACATGAAAGCGGTGTCTTTAGTGCAGGTAGTAACCACCTCCATTATTTTATGCCATTGTTTTGGTAGTTTTTCAAAACCGTTTGGCCCAGAAACTTGATGACTGCGAGTCCAAAAACATATCAACTTCATTTTGACCTCCTGTGTGGAATGGAAAACAGCACCAGCAAGATGTAGCTGCAGTTGTAAAAAAAAAAAAAAAAAGAAGGTCTGTGAAAGCTCGAAAATTCACATCCGGCAAAACGGAACTGTTTGATAATTTATATTAGTTTTTCACTTGATTTCAGTATTTCATAAAAACTCTCATATTGCTTTTTCAAGATGTTTGACATCCGATTGTAAATTTTAAGAAATACTTGGAATATGTGTACTAAGTATTGAACGTTTCTAAGTATGTTTGTTTTGCTTTTACAGAATGTGGCATCAACTGTCCCACCTCCACCTCCTCCTCCATCATCATCACCTCTTCCTGCACCATCTCCTCCTGCATCTCCTCCACCTGCACCACCTTGCGCACCTAAAGTAAGTTTTGTGAATCTTCATACATATTATAAAGAGAATGATTAAGTATCTGTCATTCAAATTCATAATTCAACTGAAGTTTTTCTTAAAATTTTATTTAACTTGGTTATTAAGCTTTTTTTTATCAGTAGTCAGCTTAGTGTAGGAGCTTTTATTAGACATCTGTTTTTAGTTTTAATTTACCAGTTGAAGTTAATGCCCTTTCGGGGAGCATTATATGTGTAAATGTTTAAATAATGTAAAAATAAAGTAACACCTTTTATGGTTATTGCAATGAATCATTTCTTTTTATAGAAGATAATTTTGAGACGTTCATGGGTAAGTTCTTCATACTATAGCAAAATGTAGCAGTAAAGAAAAATAAAATAATAGCCTCATAATTTCTTCTAAAGATGCATAAAAATGTCAGTCCATAGGACTTACATCAGTCAAGTCAAGAAAATATCTTACACTGTTGTGAAGCTAGCTGTCAGCAGCTTGGAAAATGATTTAACTTTGTTCCATGTTCTAACAGAGTTTATGCCCCATCTCAGACTTTAAGTGATGACTGACATAATGAGTTGTTCGCGGAACTGCCTTTCTCATCCTCTACAGCTGTAATATTTAAAGAGTAGAAAAATTAAACATGAAAGACACGAAGGATATTTTTCTTGATTATTTACTGCTTATAAAAAAATCTATAGGTCTTTTTTCTGCACTGATCTCATGGATATATATCTGGTACCTCTTTAACACAATATATTTCAATTTAAAGCATGCAGAATTCCAGGTGTGTTTCCTATTTGAATGCTTCATGCTTAATTTGAGTGGTGTAGTAATACAGAATGAGTATCGAAAACAGTATCAAAGTAATGTCCCATTCATCAGACTCCAGTTTTCATTCCCCTTTCAAAATCCAACATACACAGATTTGTTTGAAGAAGCTTAGAAATTCACATCCAACAACTCATAGTTTTTTATAATTTAGATTAATTCTACTTAATGTCCGTACCTCCTAAAAACTGGTGTACAGTTATCTCAAGATTTTCCCTACCTGATTCGAATGTAAGAAATATTTAGAATATGTGCACTAAACTATTAAAAGCTTCTAAATATGTTTGTTTCTTTTGCAGGAGTCTGTGAGTTCCAGTCGGCGTCGGCGTCTTCCGCCTCGGCGCAAACCGCCTGTAAGTTTTATTGATTTATCATACATAGTTATTTAGTTTCAGTGGTTTTAGTAGACATCAGTACCTAGCTGTAATTTTCCAAAAGTTAGTTAAGTGTCGTTTGTTTGGAAGTGTGGAGATACTGAAGGAACTTGTTTTTGTTACTCGCCAACTGCATGCCCAAATTTCTAGCTTTAACGGATATTTTCAAGATGCGTGAGAAACACTTAATGCTCCATCGCTGCCGCGCTTGGTCTGATTTATTCTCCGACTCAAATATCTTCGGTGTTGATTTAAGGAGTAGTTATGATGAGTAATTGTTGTGATTGAAAGTTTATTATTTAAAATCGATCATCTGTTTGTGTTTATTCAGTGGTTCTCAACCTTTTCACTAACGTGTACCATCTAAACAAAAACTGAAAAACTTATGTACCACCACTACATTTTACAATGATTATTTTTCAGTTTCTCAATAGAAATATTAAAAAATATATTTTGCCATTTTCACAACCTATTGGCTGTATGTATTTCATATGCACACATAAGAAATATTAGATTAAAAATTGGTTATGATTTTAATTATCAAAATTTCCTCTAATAGCTTTAATTTTAAAATTTAGTCTGAAATTTGGCTGTGCTTAAAATATTTGAATCTCTTTATGCCTGGTCTTATTTTCACTTAGTTTTTAACCATAAATTAGGATCCACTTATGATTTTATTCTGTATCTATTTTTCAAATTTAACATGGAAGAAAATCTTTGTTCACACAAATAGGTTGTGCATAATAAATAGGCGGTATAAATTTAATAGCTTTATTTGAAAATGCCTTTAAATTTTTTTTTCAGTTCAGCCAAAAGTTAACAAATGTGCTATTTTTGAAATCTTCAGTTAGAGTTTGACCACAGAAAATTTCTCTCAATTGTTCTTTTTCCAAACGAGATAAAATTTCAGGTACATTTGAGCAAAATTTTCTTTTTCATAATCCTTGGGAAAATACATGTTGAAATTATTTATCAATTAAAAACAATTACTTTTAATGTCAGACATTAATTCTTTTATTTCAAATTATTTTCGATTAGAAAATTTTCTAAAATATGGTAAAATGTTTAAAATATTATTATATATTTCTTAAATTATTAGCTCGAGTTTTTTATCAGTGCATTTATTGGTAAATAAATTAACACATTGTCCTTGCTATCCTAAATTTTATTCATTTAACTTTCCCAAAATATCGGCTAAATATGCTAAACATGCCAACCATAATTCAGCGAATGAGCGAAACTGACCTGATGAAGTGTTGTGATGTTTTCAGCGATATCTTAACAGATGAAATTACTGGGTCGAATGTTGATGCTCATGATATATGTGCTGAATTGGGCAACTTACCAGGTTTAGTGCAACAAAGTACTGGTGCTTTTAAAAGTCTGCAGTTCATATACGAGAACATTTTGCTAGATTCTTTCCCAAACGTCTCTGTTGCATTGCTTGTCACTTTGACATTTCCAGTAACTGTCACGTCTGCTGAACGCAACTTTTCAAAGCTAGATAATTAGATAATTTTAGATTATACCGTCCGTTATACATAAATCGCGCACGCAAAAACGTATTCTGCACTTGCGCACACGCATATGCGCAGTGGTAAAAGGTCTTGTGCGCACGCGTAAACGCCTATGCGCATTTGTCTACTTGGCGCATGCGCAGAAAGTTTTTAGCTTTGAGGTTCAGATTATAGATCATTCCGGAGTATGGGTGTCCTAATTAACGACTTTTGACTGTAATAAAATTACACAGGGTGTTTTCCCATTAAGGTTTGAATTGCATATCAGGCTCCAATGCTTACATGTACATAATAAATTAGGTGATACTCAGTTTCCTGAGTCCTGTAACATGATGTAGGTATACAAATAAAATAATTATTATACATTTACATGCACATATACAAGGCAGCACTTAAATTGTGCCAGAGCCTGCCTCCTGTACTTCTTAGTTTTAGGGATAAATCATAATTCTAGACGGAGTGCACTGGAACCCTGAATAATAAGGGTCTGGCACTTCTTGTATGCAGATGAAGAACAATTTCAGTAGAAATCTGATCTCGAAAATTTTATTTTTAGCAAAAGAATATTAAAAATCGCTTATTAATTTTAATTTAGCTCTGTACATTTTATTTAATTCTAATCATTTAATTACTTTACTCTTTTATTATTTTAATGAATAATAATAATTAATCATTAATTAATTGAACAATAATTATTAATTAAATAACAATAGGAATAATTATTGTTAATATTAATTAAAAATTATTGAATACTTATTTAATAATTAATTAATCTGGTAATAATTAACTTTAATTTTTTAATTATTAATGATTTTTAAGGGCCTTTATATTTATTTATTTACTTTTGTTCCTCTTTCCTGATGGCCTTGCATAGGGCTTCCGGCACATCTAATTTTAGAAATTAAGCCCTGATACAAAGTGTTTTTACATTAAGGTTTGAATTAATTGCATACTAGCCTATAATGCTATATTAGGTAATACTCAGTTACTTGCGTCATCAGTACACAATAGAGTAGATTCTTCTGGCATATTCATATAATATTATGTATGACATATATACAGATAAAATCCCCATTTATGTCTTCCCGCGGCGTCCACGAAAGGTCAGGAAATGTCCAGACTAGTTTTTCCGACGAACTGCATACGTTACGCACGCCAATGAATTTTGCTCTTCTGGAAAGCATGCCTTTCAGTCAATTTTCACAGTCTCAGGGAGGGGGGCTTTTCCATGTTTTGCCTAGGGCCCCATAACACCTGAGAAGAGCCCTGGCAACTCTTATAATAAAACATATGTAAGTCCCGTTGCATAATTCTCCAAATAATCACTGCTGCGATAGTATTTGACCTACTTTGTAAAAAGGCTTTCATCGATTTCTACTATTTTGTTGGGCCTTCTGATTTTACTGAAAGCTTTGTTTAGTATTCCTGCAAGCAACTGTCCCAATCTATTAACATTTTGTCAACCGTCTGTTTAAGAAATAGAATGCAGTCACTAATGGATTTCTAGAGCTAATTTTGTAAAACAAAAGGGGGCTCATCGAAAATTATGCTTACATCAAATGAAAGCACAGATATTATAACGTCATCCTTATCTGTACTTGGTGTTAAATTATGCTGCTTGGCAACAGTGTTATGTTTGAAGGGATAATATGTGAGTACGTTAGGCTAAGCTGTTACATTATAAGGCAATAATAATTTGCATGTTAAAATAAAGTGTCATTAAATAGTGGGAAAAATTACAGCTTGTCAATGAATTGCCATCTAATTTTAATTTTCCGTGCCATGGAAAGGATTGGCACTCTGGATAATTGGAGAGCTGTCCTGCATTTAAAAAAAACCTTCCCGAGTCTTATTTATTGCATATTGCCAAATTTTTGTGGCATTAAATCAATTCATACATTGTTCTTTATGCTTATATATATGTTTTTAGTGTGCTAGTGTTAAATTTTTTAATGTTCCTGAATGCAACTTTTTGCTTGAACTTCATGTTAAAAGATTTTATTTCTAATTTAAAAATTTTATTACAGCGCCGACCCTGGACGAGGTCGATGTCCAAGTCCCAGGGTCCGGTGACAAGGTCCCAAGCGAAACGTCAGGGCCCTGGGACTAGGTTTTAAAAGAACCTCATTCTCATGTAAGCTTCATTTAATTTATGCATTTTATTTTATGCAATTTTTTCATTATTGCTAAATGGTAATAAACAGTGAATAATTAGGTATATTTGTGACTATTTATTTCTATTTGTATATCATGTTATGTAGGTAAAAAAAACTATAAAGAATGTAAAGAAGTAAAACTAATCATAATGAAGGATGTCACTTCTGACCTTCATTTAAGTTTTGAAATGGTATTCTATATGGAGCTGTCATAACTGCCATTTTTTCTAATGGTTCAATTTTTAAGCTTCTTGAGCATAGTTAGAGGAAACTGTTAATAAAAGCAGTGCATCTAACACATTGTAAAGATTTTTAACAGGGATTCAAGTTAGGTGAATTGGATGACCACTTCCTGTGAGCAGTGTTTTTATGTTTGAGGTACTCGTTCAGAAATTTTGGTTTATGCGGACATTCATAGCTATCCATAAGAATAAATACTGGACAAACTGCTTGTAGCATGCAGTCTTGCAGTGGGTTCAATAAAATCTCAGTGCAATGGAACTGATATACTGCACTTCTTGTGCAGCACTGCAGGATGTTAAAAGAAAATACGTCCTTCAGTATTTACGTTGCTGTTACAGGCACAGTGTCGAGTTCCATTCTTCTGAGCACTGTGACACTCACAGGGACAAAATCTCATGATACTGAGGAATACAGTTGTTTGGTAGGATGTTCGATATTACTCTTAATGTTACTAACTCTTAGAAAATAAAAGGTAAAAAGACTTACCTTTTAATCGATCTTCTTTCTTCTCCAAAGGCATATCCGGGAGTATTTTTCTTAAGTACATCTATACACTACTCACAGAAAGAGAGAGGCTTCTAAGATAATAAGATATTTAATTTACAATAACAGCACTAAACTAAAAAATATATATAACACAAAGATAAGGATTACATGTTTCACTCAAACGTCCATCACGAGTTCTCAAAGTTCAACTAAAAAGTTCTGATTTAGTTTTTGCTGCGCGCATGCGCAAATCACGTGGTTGTCGGTGAGAGTTTCAGCACTAACAGAGGCTGTTTGAAGTCTTTAACATGAATTTGCAATATTTTTTACAATAATTCCAAATTCGTCATAGTTTAAAGTGTTGTCTTTATTTTCTGTTTAACACAATAAGTGAAGGGGGCTTCTCACTAATCTGGGACACAAACAAAAAATCTAGAACACTCTCACACATATATTTATTTCAAATATGCATGCAAGACAATAATTGCTAATTCAATAAATAACAGTCAGTCATATTACTTATTTCTATTACTTCATATTTATTCTAAAAATAAATAAAAATACTGAAAAAAAATATGGCGTCCAACTGCCCCTGCGTCGAAACGACCTGCTTCGGAAAATACTAGTTACAAAGTTTTTGTTTTACCAAAGTTAGCAAATTAATATTATTACGTCTACCCACAAAATTAAAAAATAACTATTCTTTATGTTTTTATAGCTTTTAAGTAACATATTAGCAACACGCTTTATTTATTTTGTTGTGAAGCAAAAAATCGACATAATATACCAGTTTTTGTATGCTGCTTGTGCTTATTTTTTATTATGTTTCACCCTTAAATCTTTATGTTTTTAGGTTGGAGAAAGAGTTAGATGCAGAGGAGCCAAAAGACAGTGAGGAGTTGCAGAGTAAAAAGGACACTCAGAGGGGGCCAATAGTAGTCATAACTAACAGCAGTAGTTGTGAAGATGTTCACAGTGCAGAGGAAGACGAGACTTCTAATGAAGCTGAAGTTAAAAAGGACTTAAACTCAGTAACTGGAGATTTAGATACAAATAATGTAAATAATCTGAAAAATGGTGTAATCTCTGACTGCCAGGAGGAGAAGAATACAGCAGCTAAAAATGAAACACCCGAAACTTTTAGTAATGAAATAAATTCTGGAACTATTCTATCACCACCTGTTCCTTCAAGCTCAAAATTATTCAGCACATCGAAGAATTTCCAAAAAGCCGGTGAAAGCAAAAGGTATAATAGGGTCACCGCCTACATCAACCCCTATAAAGTCTTATCCCACCCCAGTGTGCCTCCAAGAATGAGGAAACACCTTCCAGCTCGTCGAACGCGTAGCGACCCTGGATCTGCTGATCAACCCTCTCGCATTCCGAGGCCCATATTTACTGGCAGTCGTTCGTCCGTTTCGCCTACCATCACTAAATCCAGTCCAAAAGGCTCTCGGAGACCAAAGATAAATGTAGCTAAGAAATCAAAGGTTGTTGAAAATTCTAAATTGAACAGTAACAAGCATTCTATTTGCATCAAAATCCAAGATGCTCCAGCAGAACCTGCGTCTTCTGAAACCGAGCTCGAACAGAATGAGGGAATGTCCCCAATTAAAAACATTTTTGATGAAAATTCAAAAGAGATTGTAACACCTACCAACAATGGGAATGTGAAGGAAGTACCATCCGTGGATAGCAATAGTTGTAACTGCTATGAGGTTTTTGTTCGCTGTGAGTCTGACGCTTCCAATATTTCGAAAGTGGAAGTATTCAACAATGCAATGCCTGTCTTCGAAAATTCACTGGTTGATTCCGCTCCACTTAAGGTGGTTTCGAAAGAAATTTCTGGTACTAACCCTTTCAGAATGAGTGAAACGAATCCATTCAAGGGTGGCACAGATTGTAAATACCATTCTTGAAAATCACTAATCCATTCGAGGACACAGTGGAGGAAATTTCAGCCTTGCAATCAAAAGGTCAGATGTCATCGACTTTAATTCCTCCCCCAATTCCTGAGAGGTAAGTTACAAATAACCTTTCTAAAATTGTTTTAATAAAATAAGTTTGGTTATTTTCAATTCGAAACATTAAATTCAAGACACTTGTTGCGAAGAACACAGAAAATATATAAATCAAATATATTCAAAACAGTTTGTTCAGTTGCGGACTGCCTCTAACCCAAGGCTGGGTGCATTATAAATAAAGACAAAATATTCTTAATAAACCATTCTTTATTTTCATCAAAACTGTCTCACTCTTCCGAGATCAGCTTTCGTACCATCTACAAGCATTCCATTCGAAACACTCAGCACGCAGGCTGACGTCACGAACAGCAGCGCCTCGCGCCAGTTATTACTTCAGTTTTTCATTATGCTTTTGAACCAGTTGACTAAGGTATTCTTTTCTAAATCGTTGTCTCAGATAATTTAACAATTTAGTTCTATACTTTAATCTCTTATTAAGACTTGACGAATTTAATTCATCAAGATCTTCAACGTTGGAATTTCTGTTCTCGATAAGAAACATGGCGGGTGTCAGAGGTACTAATTCTTGCGGATCTTCAGAAACATAAGTTAAGGGTCTACAATTAATTATAGTTTCACAATCACAAATAATAGTATAAAGGTCTTCATATGATAACACTGATTTACCTAAAGTACATTTCAGCAATTCTTTTACTGCATGAACCAACCTAATTAAAATTTTCTCAGAATTTTCAATTTCATACTGTGAAAGTTCAATGTTTCTATTCTTTTCAGAACCATCTTTACAATTATTTACAAATCTAAATATCCATGCAAATATTCTAATCATTTTATCATAATTGGATACACTGATTCGATGCCAAGGGGGTGCGTCTTTTGATAGATCAATTTTCACTATTTTTATCTTTTTCCTCTCCAATTCTACTTCTTCATGCAAACAAATAATCTCACCAGTGGGCCAGTTTTCAGGGCCTTCTCGCAACCACAAGGGGCCTTCCCACCATCTAGACCGAAGCATTTGCTTCGCAAAACATCCGCGCGATAACAAGTTGGCAGTATTCAGTTTCCCTTGGACATGTCTCCATGAATGACCTCGTGTCAACTCTCGAATCTCTTTAACCCGATTTTCAACGAAAACAGACCAATTTCCTTGCTCTGTTATCCACCAAAGGGCAGTGGTTGAATCAGACCAGAAGGTAACTTTTAAATCGGGCAAACTGAGAGCCTTGATAATATAATTTGCAAGTCTAGAACCTATACAACAGGCCATTAATTCTAAGCGAGGAATGCTTAAACATTTCAAAGGCGATACTCTAGACTTCGCCCGTACGAGATTTATTTTTACTTCAGAATTAAATACTGATCGAACAAAGATACACGCTGCATACGCCCCCTTGCAAGCATCCACAAATACATGTAGTTCAGACGTGTCATTGATAAACAAGTATCGAGGCAAAGTAACATCTTTCAAAACATTAAGTTCTTTAAACCAGTTCAAAAATATATTTACATCATTCAGAGACAATTCATGCAATTTTCACTTTCCACAATTTTTGCAACAACAGTTTTGGAAGCAATGTAGTTGGCATTAATAAACCAATTGGATTAAAAATTGTCTGCACAATTGCTAAAATTGACCTCTTTGTGATTTTCGTATCACAGGTCAATGTATCTGTATCTGTGCAGCACCTCAGCGTATCATTATCCAAATTCTAAATTACCTGTAAAACGAAAGTATCCCCTGAATGTTTGTCAACATTTGTACCAGCCACATTGCTTTCAAAACCGCTCAAGTTAAAACATCTATTTGACATGATTAATTTGGAATGTTCAATAAACGTATACTGTTCATCAATACTAAAAACACTTGATAAACAATTATCCACATAAAAGGACGATTTCAATTTTTGAGCAACTTCACTATATTGACGTGGACAGTTTTCTAATAGATGTATTATAGATATGTTCAACAAGTAGGGGCTCGAAGAAACTCCAAACACAACTCTGCAATGCCTATAAATTCATTGCCCTTTATTGCATGGGAAAAAAAAAATCTGAGAAAATCTCTATCTTTAGATTCGACGGATAACATTAAAAAAGCTTTTTCAATATCGGCACTAATACCTATCGGATACATTCTAAAACGATCTATAATATCAGGTATTAATTCAATAAGATTTATTCTTTTACACAAACATTCGTTCAAAGAGAGTTTTCCTTTCTCAGATGCAGAAGCGTCAAAAACAGGACGAATTTTCGTGGTTTCACTTCCTAATTTGATTACAGGCTTATGCGGCAAATAATGACATTCATTATTCAGTTCGGTTTCTGGAACACTTTCAATAATATTCAACCTTTCCCATTCCTTGAACACATTTTGATAATCATTGAAAAATTTACTACATTTGAGTTTATAGATCATCTTTTGATACCTTTTCCAGGATAATTCTTTATTATCGGTTAAATGTGTCGTATCACATTTCCAAGGAAGTTCAACTTCATATCTTCCATCTGGAAGAATTTTCATTTTATTCTCAAATTCAGATAAATTAAAACTTTCTTTCATGTTAACAGTTTCCATTCGAGCGCATATTCCTATATTTTCAAGTTCCCATAACTCATTCAGAGGAATTCTCCTGACATGCATTGAAAATGTTTTCAAAATATAATTATTTTCACCCGAATTTCGTTTTCCAAATACCGTCCACAGAAGTTTCGTTTCAGCGGTTACCCGGGACTGTAATTCAATAGAGTTTCCCGTCAATAATTTTCCTATAACATCTGCTCCGATTAAAAGGTTAATTTCAGTTTCCTTTCGCAATGGATCAGAATATTCGATTTCTTTTCCTTTTAATTCATTCAAAATCTCTTTAACTTTGGGAATAAAACCGCAAATCTTTCTCAGAAAGTGCTTCAAAACTACATGCAAACGTTCCTTTTAAACTGCTGACCTCGACGGAAAACACTTTATGTTGTTTAGGTTTTGTTTCGTCCCCCCCAAACAGTGCATGTATAACTGTCTCCTCCGGAAGTGGAGATGCTTTAAGCTGACTCATCATACTTTCACTGCTATCAATTATGCAGCGAAAAATTTTCTCGCGACCTTGACACCGAATTAGAACGCAAAGCGTTTGCAAAAATACAGTTTCGCTTCTGCCACAGTTAGAAAGAGAACTCTCTTTTGAAACATGTATCTGATCGTTATTTTTTAGCTTTTGATTACACATTACATCAAAATGATTACAACTTTTGCAAATAGAACAACTTAACTTACCTTTCAAAGGACAAAATTTACTAATGTGACTCGCTCTTTTCAGACAAGAAAAACAAGCACCTTTTTTCAATAACAATTGTTGTTTTCAGCTAAAGTCATTTTTTTTTTGCAGAGTAACATTTTTCACTAAAATGTTTCTCTTCACAAAAATTACAGTTCGGAACACTCCTACCTGAATTCTCAAGACTTACTAGAGCTGACGCTGTTACGGGTTCATTTTTCTTTACCTGTTCGTGGTTAAAGTCTTTATTCCAATGGTTCTGTTGGGAAGCGAAACCTGTATTCAAGGCCAGAGCCAATGTAGCTATACCAGTAGCATTTTAGGAGACATGGGATGGCAAAAATCATATCTTCGATTGTGGCTGTGTTATCTTGTGGAAAGATTACATAGATAATTGTCAGCTTGCATGAATGTACTTGATTGTCAAGGATGGACACCAAATTAGTTTAAAGTGCCATTTAGAGCTACTGTTAACGAAGAACACAGAAAAAATATAAATCAAATATATTCAAAACAGTTTGTTCAGTTGCGGGCTGGCTCTACCCGAGGCTGGGTGCATTATGAATAAAGACAAAAAAGTCTTAATAAGCCATTCTTTTTTTTCATCACAACATTCTCGCTCTTCCGAGATCAGCTTTCGTTCTGTCTACAAGCAAAACATTTGAAAAACTCAGCACGCAGGCTGACACAAACAGCAGCGCCTCACGCCAGTTATTACTGCAGTTCATTTCA